TAAGTCGTGCATGCATTCACGACTACCTGTCAATAAACTATGTATAAAAACAGGAAAATAATGAGATGTTGAGAAAAGTGAAAGACTGTACTGTGTACGAATTGTAAGATAACGGAAGTGAAAAATAAATTTCATTTTTTTTTTATTTGCCCTAAAAAGAATGACACCAGGTAAAAAAAATGGGAAAAAGCAGTAAAACACTTTGTTAAAGTAAGTCCCCAATGGCTAATATAACCGAATTCATAGTAGTACAACATGTTGATAATTCAATCTATATATATCTTAAAACAGCGGATAAGCAACAAATGGTTACAACTTAACCTGCTACATGACTGAATGTAAAAACTCACGTATTATTTCTGATTAAATAATATCAAGTTTTCATAATACGTTGTCTGAAATCTGTTATTCTCTACTAGAATTGTATAACTTATTTCAACTGTACTAGTAAATTCATTGCTTAAAGTAAATAAAAAAACCTGAATCTGAACATGGTTACGTTTGAGTCTGTCTGTATCTACTCTGTGTCTAACACCTGACATATACACCCCTTGGCGAGAGAGGTATTGTTTCGCCACAATTTCTAACCTGTAGCCCGATTTTTCGGGAAGTAGGAAATCATGCTACAATTAATATCGCTGGGTACGCAGCACGATTTCTCACACAACCACTTTAGACTTCCTCACTTCCGACTCATTGATGAACCTGCTAGGAGTTAAACATTGCTGGTTACCCACTAGCGGGTAACACCCTGGATGTTATTTCATTGATAAATCTTCTAATTATCAGGTGAAGTAACAATGTTTTGCAACGTCATATTGCATTGTAATTCCCGATCGGAAACAGGAGTATTGCGATCCTAAGAGATAATGAAGTAGAAACAGCCTTTTATAAAAAAAAAATGTAAGGGTTAATATGAAATTATATTAGTTATTGTTTAATCACCAACTCTTATATGTAACCTCAAGCGGTTGCTACAAATGACGGCCAAGGGTTGGTTGTGCAGGGTTACTTGTGACCGGGTGGAGTGTCCTGCTGGGTGTCTTCGGCAGTATGTGTCAGTGAGGTATCACTATAAAGTCGGCATCAGTTCTTCGCTATCACAAGGAGACAAACACAAACATATTTCAGCCTCCCAAAACACACATTCATACACTACACGCATGCATCTTGCACACAGGGGAGGCCGTCCTTAATCGACCATAGCTGTTGATAGGACGTAAAACAATAGTAAACCAAACCAAATTGTACAGGGTTAAACGTCTGATCAAAAGCCAAAGGTCAGTTGAGGACGTACAAGTGTTGTATGACCAAAAGTCTGTCAGCCATGACTTGAAGACCAGCCCAGACAAATTGTCCACAAACTCGCTCCATTTTGAGCAGGAATCCCTGGACAAGCCGACCAATACCCGCAAAAAATACTGTTATACAGTAATTAGAAAATTTAAAAGTCTCATAAAATGTTTAGTATCCAAAATATATCATTTTCTATTCGTGTTTATTAGGACGGTATACATTTAACCTTAATGTTTTACAAAATTGATCGACACATATTTGGAATAACCTGTACAATGTATATGTATCACACGTCCTCATTGAAACACATACTATGTTGAGTCTTCAGTACAATCCTATACTTATTGCAAAATTTATGTACGATGCATATATTAAGGCCCCTCATAAATCTGTATAAGTTAAGGATCCCCACTCCACTGCAGGCACAAAACACTACACAATTCCACTGTTATGTTTCATATATAAAGTAACCTACCCTTAATGTCGTATTGAATATAGCTGTGATTGAGCCTAGGCACCTGTGTTGAGCAGGGCTCGTATGCATGAAACCGTTCTCATGCTCAAGCATAGTTCGTGTGCACAAGCCTAGTTGCTTGGTTCAGTTATAAGCTCAGAAAAGATCTTATTGTTGCAGTGATTTGAAAAGAAAAAAAAATAAAAGAAGCCGAATACTGTTTTCAATGTTTTACGTGTTAGTGAGTTAGTGAATTACAAAAACGCGGGTTTTAGCACGGTTTCGTGAATACGACCCCATGTAGCGTAACTGATGAGAGCGACATAATAACAATCTGAGGTGTTAGGTAACGAGTCCCCACTGAATTATACACTCAGAACACTGACATATCTATATCAGTGGTCGTAAAAGTACCGCGGGGTATTGTTTCTTTCCAGAGATGATTTATTTAGACTATACCCACGCCAAAAATAAACACAATTTGCAATGCATAGTCAGTTTTTGGCAAGGTAAGGGGATGATAAAGAGGCAATTGATTTATACACGTAAGATACCAGAGTGTTTAAAATTCCTTCAGAAGTAAGGCCGTGTCAGTCATAGGTTTCAAAGCAATAATTGACTTTATTGTGTAGGAACGAAAGCCGAAGTTATATATACTAACATTCGGAGTAGGCGTGAAGCAAGCAATCTTTCAACCTCATGGCAAACGGGTTTTTGAGTAAGATAAACAAAGACTTCAGTTTACATTGTACTGATTTATGTATCATAATGAGAAAAAAGACGCCCTTCCTATCCCACATATATTTAAAAGCTATGATTTAAAATGCTATGTATATTGCTAAATAACTACAACAGATTCGGGAATAAAACAGCTATAATACAGATTTCAAACGAATACATTCATTTAATATATATCGGATCTAACAAGAATGTCCTTTTCATATGAAATACATGAAGCGAGTCTAAGAATTGTTTAATTAAGCGAGCTAAAATACAAAATTCGTTGCGAGTTTCACAAATTTCATATGAAATGAAAACGAGTGTAAGATCCTTTTTATCACATAATCAAAAGTTGTGGTATTTATTCGTGTAAAACGATAATTTCCATGCGACCGTGAAATGTAAAAAGCCGCCTTTTTGACGCCAGTGCGCCTAGGCGTGACGTCACAATTGAGACAATTGAAACTTAAAACCAAACACAGGGCTGATTGGTCATATTACATGAGTTAAGACGCAAATAAATTATGATATGAGTATATTCACTGGATAACACAGTACATTATGTGATAAATTAGAATCTGTTTTGAACCAAATATAAGAGCGCACAGACAGAAGCTTACAACCAATCAGAAGGGATGAAGTTTGTTAAAGCAAAGTTATGTGTACAACTATGTGTCAGCAAATGATACTCTAGAATGTTCGTATCTGTAGTTGTAAAGTTAAAACAACCATTTTAATGTCTGTGCAAACATTTTTAGCTTTAGGGTTTGTGTAAAATGAGGCAAATATGCAAAAGAATATTTTTTTTGTAGAAATTAAGATTAAAATTCATGTTAAACATTTTTGTCAGTGCTGAAGCCTCGTTTATGTTATTGTGAGTAATTAAATAGCTACGGGGTATAACTTAGTTGAACAGGATGTGAACCTCTGCCATATTGTGAAACGCTGTCAGTTCGAAAGTCCCGATAGCAGATGGAATAAGCTCGTAGGCTGAGCTTGCGGTACAATACTCTTGTCAATCTAGATGTTTACTAATTGGAAGGTGTAAATTTAGGCATTACTATAATTTGGGGAGTTTAGCATCGGGTAAATACACAATTAATATGTTTAAACTTCAAATATATTAATATCGTGTTGGATTTTTATGCTATTTATTTACTTTTCTTCTTCACTGAGCATGTCAAGTATATTTTCCAGGAAGAATCGCTTACCCCCTAACAAACGCATGCATTGTTACTTACTTTTTGTACATGCTTTGTCCTTAATAAACAAGCCCTTATTGGTAAATAAAATGTATTACCTTTTAACTTATCATATCACCACCTATAATTTATGCAAAACAATACATATTGGAATATCTACATACAATGCATGTTACAGATCCAGAGATTGAGCTAGGGAGGGGTTTGTGGTACAAACAAAAGGAGTAAGGGCCGTTTAAGATCGATTTGTTAGCAACGGATTATCTTGCTTAATCTAATTGGCCAATTGATCGGTTTGCACAAAAAAGCAAATTGGGGTAAAAAGCGAGCGATTTAAGAAAAAGAAGCCCTAACCTGCAGTCACGTGTCACGTATGAATCAAATTAATTGATGTTTGACGTGAGGTGCATCAAGCGAATTTTAATTTCTTAAAAATACGAGTTAAAAATGACGTCTTTTAACATCCCTAAATCTAACAATAACATTCAGTCAGTGTCTTATTACCTTATAAGCTGTCCTATGTAATGATACGTACAATGTAATACATACAAAACAGTATTTAACCTAATAACCACCAACGTAAGGACGCTGTCGTTTATCTGTTTTTAAAATATTTCTCTTTTTAAAGGAAATTCAGCCTGTGGGTATTCTTGAAATCTTGGTTCCACCTTCATTAAAACACCACTAAAATAGGTAATGAGCGAATGAACGTGTTTACAAACGGGGTCTCTGAAGAGGAAAAAGGTGCGAGTGACCTACCAATTAATACGTGTTTTCCTGCGTGTGTGTTTATTCGTATACGCGTCAAAAGTCAAGTCAAGATAATCTTAGTCATAATCAAAATAATTCACGAGTAGGTTGTTCTTGCTAGTCACACAAGCATGCAGCTGCTAGGGTATTTATAAAATTATGTTGAGATAATCTGAAAATATGTCGACATCTCTTAATAGTACATGTATTTCGACATATGTACATGTAACTTATAAGCCATAACTTGATGGCAGAAATATGCTACAATTAAAATAGACTGAAGCCATATATATCAAACTACTTGTTTCTTGTACACAGTACTTGTTTCCTTATCATGATTGCTTATGTGATTTGCCATGAATTTCAGATACAACCATACTACCATTTGATATTTATTCATCCTCCACCACTAGGTCTCGGGTTCGATGCCTACCTGGGGAAGACGTTTTCCTCCGGGCACACCGGGTTCCCTCCACTACCAAGTCTGGCACGTAAATGACCGTAGCTGTTATAGGTCGTAAAACAAAACGAAACCAAACCAAATTTATCTCCCGCCTTTTCTAATAGATGTATGTTGCAATACATGGAAAGTCGCGACCAGCTTATCTGTATTTGGACACCAAACGTTGGCATATAGACATGCATGTGCGCTAGTCCATAATGTGTACAAATATATTTGTATACCCTTCGCTGAAAAGGATTTGTCGTTCGTCAACCCCATACCCAACGGGGATAATGATTACACGTATAAGCGGGATTGTTACACAGCATTGTATACCGACAAAATGGCAAAGGGTTTATTTATAGATCCACCCACGAAGTAGGTCACACTCGTTCAATCCAACCCGCATTAGCACTAGCTAACCAATGGACAACAGGGCGCTGATCTAGAGAGGTTTCATCTGCAGGTAAGTGTTTTGGTGCGTTTTTATCGCTGCTATATCACACACTATTGTTGATGTATAATCACTCTCTGCTTTGATAACATTTGGCGAGAATTGTTGATCTCTGTTTCCAAGGAATGTAGAGAAATACCTCTAAACAACAATACTCATTCATACCGCCTGGGCTTCGCAGTTCGTTACCCATCACGACATTATACCCATGTATGCTACCGGACATAAACACGGATATTCCTTGCTGTCTTATAACATGAATTTTGACAATGGGCTTTCTTTCCCTTAACATATTGATCTGCTTTCGTGTTTATATATGATTAGCAAACATTTTTTTGCCATCCCCGTGACGTGTATGAAACCAACTGTGTGTTCAACGTATGGTTATCTTGACGATTAAACGATCATTGGAATGCCAGAAACAAGACTGACAATGTCGTTAAACAACGGATTTGGTTTAAAATTGTGTGAATGCACCTCACAGGAGGGGGTGATTTTGGGGGGCTTTTTTCTGTAGTAGATTCAGCTGATAATGCCCGTGAATCTACATGTTCATGTAGTTTAGGGGAGTATTTTGGCAATTAAATATTAATTTATTTTGTCATAAATATGAATTTTGATTTAACTGTTTGTCTTTTATTGTGAACTAGTATACAAACATATGTACAAGGGCAACACATAATTAAGAGGAAGGACACGCCAGGTTTTTATGCTATCATTGGTTATTATTCACCTGATAAAGTGATGCCTAGGAGGTTGTCTGCCTAGATNGGATCCACCACTGCATGTGTACTTGAAAAAACCACAGGTAAAAATGCAGTTGTATATCTATCATAAAATAGACTCTACCTTTGAAATAACACTTTACCTATATACCTAATTCCAACAAATTCAAATTCAAATTCAACTTTATTCTCTTTCACAATACAATGTATAGAGAAACATATTTACAATATAATATATAGTAATTGTAGTGTTTGTCGTCGGTAGTACACAGTACTGTTTCATAATATGTACACATTTATATCGAGGTGGTATATAGTCCTCTGCCAACTGACGGGGGTGATCACCACACCATGACGTTAATTAGAACAATAAGATTAGGTAGGGTCAGCCTGGTGAGCCTTAAAGCTTGCCCACTGACCTGACTGGAGAACCTGCTCATATATAGACAATTCAATTCAAATTAGTTTATTATAATGTCACATGTAAAATGTACAAGTATTGCAATTTCTAAAATATGTCTGTTCAGCCTCCCTTACATCCAGTCTACTATATTAGACTTACGAGACACTCACTCTTCCCCTATCACTCTAGACAATGGGAGATTAGCCCCCTATTGTTTAGGGTATAAGTAGTGGACTCCTTGTTTAGGCAACATCCATAGTCATATAAAGATATCCAAACTGCTGGCAAGGGGAAGCCATAGAAAATCATAGTTCAAGGTATTGTTGATATTAGAATGAAATCCAATATAAGATAGAGGAAAATCTTCAAAAGCCTTGGTCCAGATCTTTTTTTGACACGGGGGGAAAAAGGGTGCCCAGTCAACTAGGTCAACACCCCTAAGTCCGCCACTGGCCTCATATAACGTAATGCGTAACGTAATCAGAATCTCGGCTCTGTATTGTAAACATGTAATTCACACTGTGTAGACGACATTTCTAAACAAATAACATACCTTCGGTGAACCGGAGTGTAAAGATTTCTCTAATAGGCTGAAGTTAGTTAAGAAGGCAGTGTAGCCTGCTAGGTAAACGCAACCAGTACACAATCTGCAATACATCCGGGAACAGCGTTTTATGCATAGATCTTTAGTTATAAGTCTCAAGTTTGCATATACCGAGAAGGTGTTAGCCAAAAGTCCGGGGCGGGGGGAGGGGGGAGGGTGTCTCTTGCTTATCCCTTCCCTTCAACACCCATCCCATTCCCCCTCCCCGCCTGTCCGTTGTCAGAGGGGTCTGAGTGTCTCCTGCGAGAAAACAATTGAAAAATTTAACAGATTGTCGGAGATGAAGCTATTGTATTTATACCACTTAATTCCAGTTTTATGTTCATCAATCAATATGAATTAATCACAAATTATTAATACTTTACCTAAAGGCTTACTATTACGTGTACCGTATATGTATACGTCGACCAGTCCCAGCTAGCAGACGACATATGTACATGTTGTAACACATTTTATTGCTATATTTTGAAACTGTGAATCACACAAAATGCAGGATTCAAATGACGGGTGGAGTCTGGCGTAATTGTCAGCCTTTTTATTCCGCGTTTATTTTCTTAATATCTATTTGTAAAGATTACAACTTTGTTCTTCGATATCAGAACATTAATTGATGTCAAAAAACAATATAATTGTGTAAAAAATATAAATTAAAAAATATCAAAATTCACATTTTAAATCCAGGAAATGATTTTTGATATCAATAATATCTAAATATAAAGCAAATAGTACAATGGCGCCCTATAGAAATGTGTCTCGATGCAGTGACCTCAAGCTTCTATTTATGTTTGAGGCACGTCCTAAAATGACCTCAGCTGTTAAAAGGAAGTTTGACAAAATAAAACACAAACCAAGTCTTCTAACAGGACATTGAAGGGACCAAAGTTGATCTGCTACCCCTATTGCAACACAAGAGATATTTGTATGTTTCTTTTTTTTCCTGTCTACTTTATTTCTTTCTTATTTACATCCTCCTTGTGGTTCTACACTAAACCAAATGTAGTCCACTGAACCGTTTTTAAGTTTCAAGTTTCAAGTTTTATTTTTACACTCATGACACACACGAGGTGTGTTACAAGAGGTCAACATTTTAATACATTTCAGTTACATAGCAAAGTGAGTACAGATTGTGTATACAACATGTAAATATATAATACTGCAGAATAATAGCACTGCATTTATCTTATGTCACTTAAAGCCTTAATTGTTTTCTTTAGAAAACGACTTATTTTAGGTAAAACATTTAAATTACAAATAGAAATAATTCTTTTTAGCTTGAAATTGCTGGGGTTTGTAGTTTTATAATTATGGATACATATTTTTCTTATTGATGATTTTATATATCAGACTAGATGACTTGCTCCCGCCAGTTAAAAACTTAAACCAGAACATGATCATTCTTGTCTTGATTTCTTCTTCCAGAGGATATCTCCCGGTTTCTCCATAAATCATGTAATTCGGAGTAGAATTTTTCACATTTATGATTCTTTTACAAAATTGCAAATGCATTCTTTCTATGATAATAGTGTTTTCGAATCCCCATAGCTCACAAGCATACAATAGGATCGATGAAACAAGAGAATCAAATAACTTAAGTTGAAAATCGACAGACAATGGAATACTTCTTATTTTCTTGTAATTTTAGTACATGTACAATGTATGTAAGGCTAACCATTATCTAAACCAACAGTAGGATTTACCAGGTCTTATCCGTTCACGTGTCAAGCGTTGCGTAGGAACGGCAAGTTGTATACGAGATCAACTTAAATTCACATTATATATTTAGAGCTTTCTTGGTATGAAGAGAATAATTACACGTATTCAAGATTTAGATCTAATTCCGGTAAAAAATTGCACGGGGACCCGCATTCGGAACACCTCGCCCCGATTTCAGTACCGTTCATCAAAGGTGACTGAAGTGAATCGGCCGAGGTGTTTTTTGGCGACTCCTATGGATGGCATACACTATGCCAATGCTATTGGAAACCATCGGCACTTTCCATAAACAAGAAACATGCTATTGCCGACGGTTCCAGATTGTTGTCAATGTCGAAATATCCACACCAACACATATTTCTCGTAGCAAATTTTTTATTTCTGGTGGGTGTTCAAAAAGTTTAGATTAATTAAAAAGAAGTTTTTGATTAACATTTTATATCCACGTAAAATGCATTCTCTTTACGCAGACATCATATCCGTTTTCTCTAAACAAAATATCCAAATTAGATAGATTCTCGTTTTATTTTGCTTATTTAATTTCATATAAGTGTTTAATTTATTAATTTTTTTATTTTCGTTTTTATTTGCGAGTTTCACGTCCATGCACCAGCTAAGACACGCTTGTTATGTTAACAAGCATGCCCTGTGGGAACTCATCGATGTTTATTCTTATCTTAAGATAATGATTACATTAATTCAAACATACGTTTTTAAGAAATGTGTTATATGTTTATTCAAGCATGCATGTACTTGCAGATATAGCAGTTAAGTATTTACATTCTGTGTACCACTCCTTGTACATGTACATTGCGTAAGATTGTCCACACGTGATTTATTTTCGAATTTTATTTTCATATTTATTTTTCTATATGCTCCTATATGTATAGTGACGATGGCCGTGAACCATTTTTCAATATTTAGTGGTGAGCTGCAACAGGAAGAATTCATTAAGTTCTGTTATTGAAATCTCAAGAAACTCATTAATTGATACAAACATCCAAATGCTGATATTTAGAAAACAATTTTAGATCGCTAGAGTTACTTTACATGTATAAGAAAATATTTCGAATTATTGATTTCAGCGTTCAACATCTAAATAGATTTGTACTTTAACCAAATATGGCTTAGCGGAAATCAATACACAAAATTTCAAATCATGTTCAATATGTAAACTCAAGCATATTAACATATGTATAGCATCTACGCATGAACGACACTCCTTGTGCATTGTAAAAGACTGCCTATACAAATACAATTATACACGTAGGCAGCCTTACGTGTATAACAATATATCCTTTTCAATAACACACGTAACAGCAGTAAAGCGTACAAAAGTAAGAACAACAAAGTGAGTTAATCTCGGGATATGTCAGACGATTTCCATTACAAACCCTAGACCACAGGTACTTAGGCGCTACCCACTGGGGATTTAGCTTGTGTAACGTGCACCGTGGTCGGTACCTATTTGGTCCGTCCCAAGTGTCTCTCGGGATATGCTGTGCAGTTCCGGTAGCTTCGCCTTAGCGCACTTGCTTAGTAGCGCGACAATAAACAGCGCGACAATAAACANGGGGGGGGGACAAGACCTACACCGCACCGGCTTATGCAGCGTGGCGCACGGCACTAACAACTAGCACACGACTATTACCAGTGCTCCCTGCACCAGTACAGCGCAGTGACAACCTTGCGCACCGGCTTATCCAGCGCAGCGCACCGGCTCACACAGCGTAATAGCTACACCGTGCACAGGCCTTACAACCGCTAATCACCCTAACCTACTGCCTCACGACCACTGGTCACTTATTCAGCGATCAACAACTACCACGCTATGAAAGACTTATGCAGTCTTTCCACAAAGACTTTTTCAGCCTTTGTGTATACCTTATCGTTGTTGTATCTTCGCCGTGTTCTTCTGTCAGCATCATAATTCTCTCCCAGAATGAGATGAAGCCTCGCTTATATACTGCTAGCTCAAACCATTCTGGGGTAAATCAGGTTATCCCATTTTTCATGACGTCACTAAATTTCTCGCTTACAGCCTATGCCAAAAGCTATGTAAAAACCACAAACGCAACCTAAAACTGATTACACATGGTTTATATACACGATCTCATTAAGCTCACAATACTCCACACGTACACACGTACCTCTCGACAGGACACCGGAAATAAATGCCACTGGTACGTACACACACTCAATAACTTGCATAACTGTTCATTTCACTTGTAATCCCGAGGACAGCACAGTGTCCGACCAACTGAAATTTGACTATTTTCCGATTTTTCATGAAGTCTACCGAAAATTCTACTGCATGATATATGGTAAATCATACATCAAATTAAAGGAAACATATTTTCTTGCCGATCTAGACTACTCCCGGCGTCATACGTTGACAAAATCGTATGTTTTTTGGAACGGGGTCATTTCACTAGGGGGGCAGAGTTAGCAACCTTGATTATATTATAGATGTATTGACAGACAAGGCTATTACCTGTGCCCTAAACTGGATACCAGCCCTTAAGTTTTTATGAACAATTGACCGGCTATATCTTAATACTAGCTTATCTCCCCCTATAGCTAGTTACAGAACTTAGGGTCAGACAGCCAAGTGGAGTAAATTATCAGGTTTTTTTCTTAATAATTTATTAATATAGAGTCTATACAAACCGCTATGGGTTAAGAATCATGACGCTCATATAGAGAGACATTTCTCATCAAAAGTATACATGTTTGCCATATACAGTCGCTGGGAATCATATTCCCTTCATTCGGAAGCTCTCTAGTTCCGACTGACAGCTGAAGCACACACAACAATGACGCGTCAACCTGACCGTCTTTGGTCTAGTTTTATTGGTTTGATCCGGTGTCATATAATTCTATTGTGTTTGTGATAGGGACATTTTATTTTTGTTTCCTCTAGAGTTGTCTTGGATGAAGATAGAATCCCGTTTCCTACAATAAGAGCAATACATGTATATTGTTGTACATTTCTGATTATCATAATGTGCATATCTAGAACAGTGGTGGCCGAGTGGTAAAGGCGGCTGACGGTTTACGATCAGTAGCCTCCACCACTAGGTCACGGACTCGAGGCTTACGTGGGACAGTCGCCAGGTACTGGTCATTCCTCAATCACCAAAACCTGTCACGCCCTTAAATAATCATTGCTGCTAATAGGACGTAAAGCAAAAAAAACAAAACAAACCAATTTGACATATTTTCTCAAGTATAATATTGACAAAACATTCTGGTACGTTTACTGTAGAGCTTTGTGATACATCAATTCATTTTATCTTGTAATAGATGTGTACAGTATAAACATTTTGCCTAATAGTATGATTTGAAGTTGTTCCATACTTTGGGGGATGCTATTTGAAGGATTATTTGAAAGGTAAATAAATTATGGTCTTAAAACGTAAAAGAAATTTAATAGGACAACTGGCTGCAGATTCCGTAAAATATTATACCAGCTGCGTGCCTGTCATGTAAGTCATCCTACTTTGTGATAAACCCATGAGAGACAATGCTGACCCAACAGGAGCATTTGGTTATGTTTTCTGATCAAGGGGGGTTTATAAGTTGTTATTATGATTAAGATGCATGTAGTATAGCGGCTACCTAACTAGAGTACCCAACTCAATTTATAACCCACGGATGTACAAAGGACCTGTTACAGGAACAAAAGAACTTTGCCCACAAAGCAATTCAACTATTACTGGGTTATATTTGTAGCTCCCTAAGACACGACCCATGAGATAAAAAAAAAAAAAAGGTCCCCAGGGCCTGTGCTATGAACTATTTAGTGCCGCCTTCCAAAGGTGTACGACAGGGTTCATTTTATTGTCCAAAAAACTCATATTATATTATTTAAAGTATTAAATAATATAATATGATTTGATAGCGTAAAACATTGTTTTGATAGTTTTTTGGACAAAAAAGTGAACCCTGTCGTACACCTTTGGAAGGCGGCACTAAATCGTTCATGGCACAGGACCTGGGGACCTTTTTTAATTTTTTTAAAAATATCTCATGGATCGTGTCTTAGGGAGCTACAAATATAACTCAGTAATGGTTAAATTGCTTGGTGGGCAAAATTCTTTTGTTCCTGTAAAAGGTCCTTTAACAACCAATAAATCTGTTGTATCAAAGATACTCAGACAACAAACACAAGTAATAAGTTTTATTGGATTTATTGGTCACAACTTTCTAAACGGCCGTCGACCCAATAAGCCAGTATGGGTGTAATTTAATAGACCACAATCAACAAACAAACAATTCAATATCAGCTCCCTGCTGATTATTGTGCGAATCAATAGATTAACGGGATTAACGGGTTGAAGGCGACCAATTATTAATCAATAATTAACAGTTTCTGGGTATCAGCTCCTCGCTGATTATTGTGCGAATCAATAGATTAACGGTTTGAGGGTGACCAACTCCCCGTTAATCAATAATTAACAGTTTCGTGGTATCAACTCCATATTAATTATCAGGCAAATTCAAAACCATCAATCAAATATCAAGCTGCACATGTATTCAATATAACACAGGTCAATGTTCATATATTAATCACTATAAATGAAATAGCCATAATACTTTCAAAAAGACACCTAGCACTAAGACAATAAATGCTAATATGGTATTGCCTTTTTGCATTATAATGTAAAACTTGACGGAACAAAATGTGCATGCCGGTGAGAATATCTCTCGACTCAATTCTAAATAGGTAAAAATTATGGTGCAACTGTATTGAAAAGTCACAGCAAAGACCTTGTAACACCCACTCCGGATCTCTTGTATTCCGTTTGGGTTATTGAAAGGTGTGTTAACACGAGAGAAGTCAATGCTTGGTTATACCACTAATGTAGTGTCATATAGATACATGAAAAGTGTAACAGCCCGAATTCCCGTATTAAGTCACCTCTGAAATGAACAAAAGACTGAATAGGGTATCAAAATCTGAAAATAGAAATGGCTAAACTAAAATAATACAATTAAATGTCACCGCAAATTTGATTTGCCTTTTCTAAGTAAAAACACTCTTTAACAACAATTTTCGACTGATAAAAAAGAAGGATAGATACGTAAATGATGTTTTATTTTTTAATTTTCAGATTCGACCGAAAGAACAGATAAGATGTCGTTTGACTTTTTATCGGGATTTGTAGAGATCAGGAGTTTCCTTGCAGGAGACAATGATTCTGCGCAGGACTATGAGTAAGTTGGGTAGACGTCCAAAATAACCAAACAACATTTTGGTTTCAACTCAAAAATTGATGAAACAAGGGCAAAATATGCTCCAAAATAATTACCAACTGGGAACTTCGATATCGGCGTTAATCTCTCTTGGAACAGGTTGTTCTAATAACGAAAGAAGGACGGTTTTCATTCAATTAGGTATGAAGTATTTGTATTTAGTCCAAATATGTTTTTTTGGTTTTCAAAATTCCAAACGTTTGAAAAGGACTCAAATAGGCTAAGTCTGACGTCCAATCACATTGACATGCAGTAAACGTATAATGATTTAGCGGTATTCTGTTTTTAGCGCTATTTTCGCCCTTCAAATATAGCGCTAAATTAAGATTGCACAAATAAACTTTCTCTATATAACTCGCTATTGCATATATCGAGAGTTCGCGCCAATTCATCAATGCGCTTATCTATTAAATTTCAATAAAATACTGAAATTAAAATCCGCTAAAATAAGTCATTTGCCAGTATAGGAAGTCAGTGAAATGTGTTTGATCTGATATTGACAGTATACAGAGTCACAATACGACTGTAATCCTGATTTAATAGTACCACGGATGTTATTAAGAACTTTGATTATGGCTTAGTTGAGCATCTCACAGAGCCAGCGATACAATGTTGTTTACAAGGAATATTGTGAAGTTTTTGAACCTAATACCAGCGTATCTTTATCATTAATCTGTATGAGGAAGGATTGTAATACAGAGGTGTTGTTAGCTAGTATTTTATATTTCAAAAAATATTATTTTTATAGTGGGGCGCTGACTTATCTATTCACTTATTATGTGGATGATTGAGTGCGGTGAATGGATATCGGGCCAAGATCGGGCCAAGAAATACAGACTTTTTTCAATTTTTTTCTTTCTAAACATACATATTTTTTTAAATTATAGACCTGATATATTCTATCTACTCTGAAAGTTAATATAACACTCATTTGCTCTCGTGTTACCCGTTGCCGAACGTAGATAAAAGTTTTTAAAAATTACAACAAAAAAAAACTAAAAAGAATTTCTTACTAACTTGCTTTTGACAATCGGTTAAAAGGTACAAAAGAGGGAAAAAATACCTAAAATATTTAGACAAATGGTGGATTTATCGAGATCTAAAATTCTCGATATAACGGGTTTTGATATAAAGCTCAGTTGTCAGCCTCCATTGTCTCCTTTTAAATCATAATATATATATATATATAAAAAAACATCAAAAGAGTCACATTTTGCCTCTATTGAAAAATAACATTTTTCAGTTCTCATTCATAGCACGTGCTAATTGTTTTCCAGTCCACCGTGTAAGGACGTCGTGGCTCACCAAACCTTCTACCTCTATCTCCTTGCCCCTGCGGTAAGTAGCACATTCCTGATAGTCCCTACAGTACGTACATTATCGTATGCCTTAGTCATCGGTGCAGCATTTCCTCGAACAGATGCGAAGTCAACTATCGATGACATAACATGCCATTGCTGAAAACATTTGGGGAGAAATGGCACCGTAGTCGTTAAAAAGAATTAAACCTGTGCGTTGTAGATTACTCTGAACTGTTTGCTTACGTTGTGTTGTTTACTTTTTCACATACATAGTCAATTGTTTTCTTGTGTATAGATAGACAAAAAATGATGTATATTGTTAATGTTTTTTAGAGTAATTCTATTGACACTCAGTTACACAAAACAGTGTTAAAACAAGCAAAAAAGCGACATAAATGCAATAACATGATTGTTCCAATACGCATTAACTTCAGTGACCCTTTTTTTTTTTTTACTAATTTCGTATTCCTCAAAATATTTGTTTGATATGGACCTGACGATGTGTACAGTCCAGCTAACAGTGACTGTGGTAATTGTCGTGTTACACGCCCCTATGTAACATTGCATTATAACCATTGTGATAACATCCGTCTCAATTCTCGCGACCATGTCATTCCTGTCTATTCCTAGGTTCTCTTTACCTTGATGTTGGCCTTCACAGAGAAGAGGTTCATAAAGAGGGATTGCTGCGGCGGGAGACCTTCTCTGGTGCAGTAAGTGATGTAACCTCCCTTGATTTCGTTTGTCTCTGCAGTAAGTGATGTAACCTCCCTTGGTTTCGTTTGTCTCGTTCAGTAAGTGATGTTACCTCCCTTGGTTTCGTTTGTCTCTGCAGTTAGTGATGTTACCTCCCTTGGTTTCGTTTGTCTCGTTCAGTAAGTGAAATTACCTCCCTTGGTTTCGTTTGTTTGTTTGTTTTGACTTTAAGGCCCTGGCATCAGCCAGAGCCATGTGGAGATAAATGCTTATGGAGATGCCACCGGAAAGAAAATAGGGAAGTGAGAAAACAAAACTATATAAAATCCCAAGTATAGCAATTGGGGATAGCAGATCAAATTTTGTTTCTTCAATGTCGCATTAGCAAAGGACACTGAGGGAAAAAAACAATTCTGCAGAGCACCGCATTAATACGATTTTGCAATACAGAGGGATACAGTAGGCCTGTTATTTCCCCGAACCTACAGGGACAACCTTTCCCTGTGATGGGTTAGTGGTATTCATGGTGCAAATACACTATAATGGTGACAGCATACCTGAATTTCAACCAATGACAAACTTAGATAGAGTTGTATTGTATAAGTTTGATTGCAAGTTCGTATCAAACATACAAACACACTTCCTTGTTTCTATTTATGATAAACCAATTGAATAAAAGTGTATGTTACAGGAAAATGATACAAACATGTAAATATCAAGAAAATGGATTATCCGGGCCTTTTACAGCTCTTCGTGAGCTTACTTTTATTGGGATTCTTCGTGCGAGAAAAGAAATCATAGGTTCTGATGTTTGGGAACTTTAAAACACCGGTGTGTTGGCAGGTGTGGGTTCGACTCTCGATGTCGTTAATTTGTTGAGTTCTGTTAATCGGTGCTTTCGTTTTACTTCATTTTCACTGCACTACTTTTTCTTGCTTAATCTCAATATTATCGACCCTCTTCTGTCGGACAGTATAGCAGCATGCCCTTATATTGTTAGAACTGTTAATCTATTTCAAGTATTGGTTTAGGTAGTATTGAGGTTAAAAAGGAAACAACGGCTAACCATTAGGCCTGTGTAGGAGAGTTAATTCCTAAAATATGTTGCTATTATCTAAGATAAAATGTCAGTCATCCGAAACGGGTTTTTTTTGTACGGAGTCCAACTCTTTTGTTACGTTTGCAATCGATCATCCGGGAGAAAAGAAGCATTCGGTTTGATTGCAATAAAATCAGATTGTTCCAGCGATTACAATTCCATGAGCTTGTGTGTATAACAGTTACAACTTAGTTGAATTTAATAGGATATATTTAGATGTCTATGAAGATGAATAACTTTTAACAACGGAAATTGATTTTTCTCATCAATCATTATTAATCAATCAAATCGGACTGAACTGGAACAGTTAAGCATATCAAAATGATCCCGAACATTCCTAGTGCACCGTCCATCCTGCCCTCTCGATCCTTATAGTTACTTATAGCAGGTTTCTAGTACAGACACGTGTTCCTCTTCACCGGACTCGAGATATGATCCGAGGGAAGGTCTGGCACTTTCAGGTAGCCCTGTTATTATTTCTGCTCTTTAATTATACAGCAGGTTTTGGCTTTTCTATATCCTATCAGGTCTGTTGCAGAATGTATTAGTATTCATTGATGTTACTATATTTTACGTGAGGTTTTATCAAATTTTTACTACTCTCAAAGAGAAACAAATGTCTCCTCCCTGATTTGGTCCTGTTTTCCATAGTACAATCAGCTTTCACTCCATTTATAAACAATATAACAAAAATGTAATGTTTTTTTCTAGTCCCCAGGATGTGATTGGCCGCTCAAATCGAGTGTCGTATGCCGCGGCGTTTGGATCCATAGCTTTCTTATGTGCCGGTGTGATTTTCGAGGGAACGTATGCCATCGACTACACGGGTCCACTCTATCTGAAAGGTGGGTTTCAGTTCTATACACGTGAACCTGTGTAATGAAAACTGCTTAAAACTCGACAGGATAAACATCCCCATGATAGAAATACCAAGGTCTAGAAACAGGGCCCTGTGTAATTAAAACTGTTTTAAACTCGACAGGATCAGCAAACCCATTACAAAAGTAACATGGATATACATGTACCAGTTGTAACGTTTTGTAGTCGCCTTTTTATTGCTTTAAATGATATTATAAGGTACCCGTTGTATATTTAAATGATACTCTAGAGTACCTGTTGTATATTTCAATGATATTCTAAGGTACCTGTTGTATATTTATATGATATTCTAAGGTACTTGTATATTTATATGATATTCTAGTGTACCCGTTGTATATTTAAATGATATTCTAAGGTACCTGTTGTATATTTATATGATATTCTAAGGTACTTGTTGTATATTTATATGATATTCTAGGGTACCCGTTGTATATTTAAATGATATTCTAGGGTACCTGTTGTATATTTAAATGATATTCTAGGGTACCCGTTGTATATTTAAATGATATTCTAGGGTACCTGTTGTATATTTAAATGATATTCTAGGGTACCTGTTGTATATTTCAATGATATTCTAGGGTACCTGTTGTATATTTCAATGATATTATAAGGTACCCGTTGTATATTTCAGTGATATTTTAAGGTACCTGTTGTATATTTCAATGATATTATAAGGTACCTGTTGTATATTTAAATGATATTATAAGGTACCCGTTGTTTATTTCAATGATATTCTAAGGTACCCGTTGCATATTTCAGTTTTCACCACTTAACTGTCTATTTTGATTTACATAATTTGTAATAATCAATAGAAATTCGAAGTAAAAAGGAAGCAAATATTTCAGATTGTATTTAGTCGATGCAAACACCAAACAAAAGTTTGTTTTTTCACTGCACCATATTGTCATTGTATCTATGAATGAATGAAAAAATAACGAAAAAAAACTTTCTAATGTATTCAGAAACATTATGACCGTTTGTGATAATCTTTGCTATCGGTTGTATTATGTTGTTGTCTACGATGACTTATGGTATATAGTTTCACATTTCAGTTTTGTCTCTGTTGCATTATATGAGGATCTACAATATCAGTTGTATATTTCAGATTTCGTTCAATTGCTGTCTTTGATGATGCATGATACATGTACCTGTTGTATATTTCAGTTTTTATTCTGTTGCTGTCTATGGTGATATACGGTATCGGATATTATCCTTTGTTCCTGTCCCTGTCCCTGGATTCCATACCCGGTTATATTGTCGGTATCATCTACGCCTGGTTTCTGACGGGCATGAACTTCGCCAGGACTTTCAACTGTAACAATCCTGCAGCTGTAAATATTTCTAAAACTATTTTACATAGTATATCATATCGCATCATATACATGTACCTGTAGTCCAATTGGTATGGATTATACGTCTCATTTATCAAATCCACCGCCTGTCAACGTTAATGTTGAAATTTTAGCAAGTACTGAAACTGAACCTCAATCTTTCTGACGTCAGGTAAAAACTAGAAAAAAATGAGTTTTCGAGATAACAAATTCAAATATCGAAGCGTCCTTTTAGCATTGTTGCTCCCTTAAACATTTCTTTTTATAAATAGATGCACATTACACACATTTATCAATAGTTATTTAAGCGTTGTAAGCTACGCAACACTCGTTCAATATTAGCAAATACATGTAACGCATTTTTGAGGAATATAGCAAATGATTGGTATGATTTCTAAGATAGCAGAATAGCAAATGATTAACTTTTAGCACGTTATCATTATCAAAATCTTAAAATTAAAATTTTAAAGACTTTTTACCTGAAATGGTTGATGAACTGTAGAAAAACTGACTCGACAGCATTTTAAATGAAATGTGAAAATGAATATACCTGTTTTACCATAGATGGATATTGGGATTCTTGTCATCCGCGGTCTTCCGGAATTCCTGTGTCAGATATACCTGTGTTTTAGCCTTCCGGTTCGACTGATTCTGCGCATTCGACGACGGAACATTGTAACCTCCAAAGACGTCCAGGATGAAGCAAGGAGTTGCTACTCTGGGCTACACGTTCGAAAAATCTTTGAAAAACCCAAACCCCCGAAGCCGTAAGCTTCCTTTACAAAACAACTCAGAGTCAAGTCCTTGATAAATTGATGGGCACGTGCATGCACACATTTTAGCGTTAGTCTAATTTAATTTAAGCACTTTTCGTGCCTAAATATCGTGCTAAATTATAATTACGCAAATCGTAGTTCCTTTCTGTGTTTTCTATTGTATAAATTCTATCCCGTTAAACTTCTGTAATGCGCTAAAATAAATGTTTTTAGAGTATGCTTAGTTTTGTAGAGTAGAATCATTTCGTTTACTAAAGAAATTGAAATGAAAAACAATCTTGAACAAAAATTAAATAAAACGATGTGATCGATTTGATCTTTATTAGTGGAAAGGGGCGTAAAAGATGAATATATACGTTCGCGTTTGTAATGTTTTCCTTTCTTGAAATAAAAGACATCTATTTCAGTTTTGTATACGTTAACGAGGCAACTTTTAAGAACATAAACAAAGATGTTTATGGCAGCTCATCGATTAATAATATGTTTTGATTTGTTTTAGGGAACCCGAATCACTAGTTGGGAAAGTCGTTGCTTTGATAAAATCCTTGCCTGCGCGTCTGCTCTATTTCAATATTCCAAGTAAGTAATACATATCTATGTTTCATGATTTATATCTCTCAACCCTTAGATTTATATTTACAATCTATAATAAATAGAGAATGAAATCATAAGCATCCAAGATCTACCGCTAGGCATCAATGCCTTTTAGGGCTTCTGCAAGCGGACTCCTGAAGAATGTACAAAATACTTGAGTCCGCCTGAAGAAGCCCTAACAGGCAGAAAGGCCTAGCCGTATATCTTGGATACTTGTTAATTTATTCTTTATTTTCTTTTGCAAGAAGTTGTTTATTTATAATAAATATGTATATATAAATATAATATCCTTAATGATTTCTGATAATTTCCAAAACTGTCTTTAAGAAATCAAAGATCATGATCAAAATCAATAAAAAATGTAGAGTACTTGAGATTACGTTAATTGATCATAGTCATTTTATATTAATGAGCTGTTATGTTTCTTCAGCTAATATCCAAAGTTAGAGCTGTGTGCAGTAAAGGCCCCCTATCCCGTTGAGGGAAACACGATAATTCAATGTCATTTTCCTGCATAGAGTAACCTTCCCTTCATTTAAGTTTTGAAAAAAAAAAAAATGTAGTTGGCCTGGGACAGGGACCTACAACTTATCAGATAGCAGAATTGGTTAGGGCAATTGTATTGCGATCGGTGATGCAGGGTTCGAAGCTCGGTCTGCCCGGTCTGGGTGGTCGGGTGGTGCAGTGGATAGCGCACTTGCCTTTCACCAAGGCGGCCGGGGTTCGATTCCCCGATCGGACGTGAAAAGGTTGGGGTCACCTGCCCGAACACGTGGGTTTTCTCCGGGTAATTCGGTATCCTCCCACACTAAGTCCCAACACACGCTAACATCCGGGCCAACAAGAGTGATTAATATAAGTTGAAATAACTTGTTTCATAATTGTTTTAAAATAAATAAAGTTTATATTTTATATATGCCCGACCCCCTGCAGCTTGACTTCCGTAATCTAACTACGGAATACTAACGTTGATCTTGTTTTGATTTTAGCCTTGTTTCATTTTCATAAAAGACCCACAACGTATGGGTTTCTATATATAAATAATCTGTCAAAGCTGATTTCATGCCGGAAATAAAGTTTCGAATTCACAATTACAGTACCTGTAAGAGATACGGGGATTATGTATAAACAGTTTGTTATATTCAACATCTAATATTTGTCTATTAACTATGAACAATGCATTATTTCCAGAATTTCGCTACTCCGGTAGGGTTTTGTCTGTATTTGCTGTTGCCTTCATCATTTTGTACAAAGTAAGTAACACAACTATTATTTTTTTAAACTGAAATACGATATGTATTTTGAAAATATTGATATTGTTTTACAAGTTTTAGCCGGCCTGGTCCGAAAGACCAGCGTGAGCTTATGTCGTATTGCGGTGTCCCTTCATACAACCATCAATAATTTCTTTTACAACATGCCATGCTTATATCATGAACTTTTATATACCATACATAATAAAGATTTGTTTTTGTAAAATTAAAGATCATTAGTAACATTATTTGCTTTTTTGTTAAGGTACCCCGTGACTCGACCTAATATTATATAAGAAGAAAATGCAACGGGCCCATACACTGTGCTGGTATTGTTGATAATAATAATAATATATAATTCGAGGTTCTTATATTCCGGTTTATCACAACCTAGTTCGAAGGTCGTCTCAAAGCGGTTCACAAATTATTATCTGTGGTTATAGGGCCTTTGCAACCAGCCAATATCTTTCTCAACTCCATGTGGAGCATACAGCCGGAGCTGCCATTTCGGCGCTAACAGCTAGCATTCAACAACATAGCTGCCAAACCACGTACTCATTTACAGCTGAGTAGACTGGAACATGCAGAGTAAAGTATCTTGCTCAAAGATACAACAAAGTGCCGTACCGTGCCGTGCCGTGCCGTGGCTCGACCACGCAACCCTTCGGTCATGAACCCGGCATCCTACCACTAGACTACCGTGCCTCTACATATCTGTTGATACATTCATTTGAATCTACTTACAGTGGAAAGACTCTATGGAGACTGAGTGGAGGTCGAACATGGCACTATCTTATTCTGTCCGCTATCTTTATAATAATGTTATGATTTCATAGCACATCACATGTGGTTTCCAATCCTTGTAAGAGAAGGCGTACTCGCAATCCCAGCATTTCCTCGCAGTCACGCTCTCTCCACCATTGGAATATGTCATCAAAAATCACGCTGTTGCATACACTATTAATATAAAACTACCGAACATAGCTAGATTGACAACTGTCCGTTGACGATTACAGAGGGGCGACACCCTGTTACGCTGCCGTCCTGCTATTATTTGTTTTGCTGCTTGTATCATCCTCAAAATGTCGCATATATAACATTCGATTTTTATNCCCCCCCCACACCCCGATTTCTTAAAGGAGGATGACCAACTAACCTGTTATGTGTGTTTGCCTTATGTTGTTGACTAGGTGACCGTCGAATTCATTGTTGCGGCTATTTCCTTGTTCCAATTTGGAGATATACTACTAGGGCTCATTTTAAATGAAGTTGGATTGGAGGCACAACCAATGGAGGACGAAACAATATCTACAACAAGGGAAATAGTTAACCTCTTATTCTATATCCTGTACGCGTTAAAAGGTAAATAATCATTATGACCTATCTTACACTTTTCTCTTTAGCCTCTTTTTCCCTCACCCAATCTCACAAAGATTTAATTTGTTATTATATATTTATATACTTATTTATAAGAGTATTTGTAGTATGTTTTGGTATATATAATAGATATTTGTAGTATGTTTTGGTATATATAATTGATATTTGTAGTATTATTGGTTTCTATAAGAAATCTGTTAGTATGCATTGATATGTATACCAGTTATTGGTAGTATGTTTTGGTATTTATAATAGATATTTGTAGTATTATTGGTATATATAATAGATATTTGTATATATATAATAGATATTTGTAGTATGTTTTGATATATATAATAGATATTTGTAGTATGTATTGGTATATATAATAGATATTTGTAGTATGTTTTGGTATATATAATAGATATTTGTAGTATTATTGGTTTCTATAAGAAATCTGTTAGTATGCATTGATATGTATACCAGTTATTGGTAGTATGTTTTGGTATTTATAATAGATATTTGTAGTATTATTGGTATATATCATAGATATTTGTAGTATGTTTTGGTATATATAATAGATATTTGTTGTATGTATATTGATTTGTATACCAGTTATTGGTAGTATGTTTTGTTATATATAATATATATACCAAAACATACTACAAATTTATATTATATATACCAATAATAATACAAATATATATTATATATAACAAAACATACTACCAATAACTGGTATATATAATAGTTATTTGTAGTATGTATTGATATGGATACCAGTTATTGGTAGTATGTTTTGGTATTTATAATAGATATTTGTTGGATGTATATTGATTTGTATACCAGTTATTTTTATTATTTTTTGTTATATATAATATATATACCAAAACATAATACAAATATCTATTTTATATACCAAAACATACTACCAATAACTGGTATATATAATAGTTATTTGTAGTATGTATTGATATGGATACCAGTTATTGGTAGTATGTTTTGGTATATATAATAGATATTTGTAGTAAGTATTGGTATATATAATATATATTTGTAGTATGTTTTGGTATATATAATATATATTTGTAGTATTATTGGTATATATCATAGATATTTGTAGTATGTTTTGGTATATATAATAGATATTTGTAGTATTATTGTTATACATAATAGATATTTGCAGTATTATTGGTTTCTATCAACGTAATCTGTTAGTATGTATTGATATGTATACCAGTTATTGATAGTTGTATGTAAACTCTTTGTTATATTTTGTGATATGTAAATATTATATTTCGGTGTTGATAATTCGACAAAATGCTTTGTCTGCACGCCAGTTATTACGTCTTTGCTTTTATTTGTTGTAATATATCTATATTTAGTTATTGATAGTTTGTATAAGTACATGCGGCACATGAAAAGTGCTTATAGCTTCTATCAATTCCATATTTTGATAAATGAATTCTATACCGTATAGATTATTATCTTATTTCATTTATAGGTTGCGTTTACACCGCAGTGGTATGCGCATTCGTCCTTGGCTGTGTTCTGATGCTCCATTCCTTGTGCACATACAGGTAATGAAATGTTAAAGGACAATGGGTGCATCTCAGTTCATTTGTAGTCCCATTGTAAAAATATACATAATATAAATTTTGGGAATATGTTTCTGTATGATGTCGAAATAATCTACTTAATCGTATAAAAATTCAATAAAAAAAATATTTAAAGTTACATGAAAAAGGTTATGAAGAAAAAGGATTAAGTTTTGTTTTCTTTTTTTGTCAAACGTATTCAATATTGTATTACCGAACATAACCTGTTCTGTAATGCTCTGCTTGGTCATTGTCATGTCATATATTATAAAAAATGTCTTTCACATAACTTTTCATCACAAAAGAAGAGTATATGATTGTTTATTCGAAACATTGTTTATGCAAACAAAACTAATGATAACGCGACATGGGGCTTTTGAATGGGTCGCCTAAAATTTCATTGTAGTATTTTATAATCAAATGAAAAAACCCATAGTAAAACAGAAATAATAAAACAGTTTGTTCACATATCAATAGCACTTCAGCTTATTCCTCTTGTTTGCTGTTTAAGTAACTCCGCTTTTCTTGGGCGTTTGATTATCATTATTCATAGGCAGATTATTTCATAAAAATTGCATACTATTTCATGTTTTAATGCATATTTGTTTTATATTTCTTAATTCCTGTATTTAGAATGTACCTTTTGGAATCATACAAGGGCAACCATGAGTTTCTGATACCAAGTGAAGACAGCAGCAATGCAAGTAAACTGGTGCGTATAGTATACGGCAACTATGTATTACATGTATGTCTGTAATATATTGGAGTTTTTTTCCGCCTTTGGGTGGAGACAGCTTCTATCACTGTCCAATGAGAACGTTTTGTATTCACCGTATTTAAAGCCGTCGTAAATATTGACTCTTTTCATATTGATGTCAACCTTTTTTCGAATCAAATTCGATTTTATTGTTGTCCTTTTGTACATATTTTCTGTCAATTTTACTAATCTTCTTTTACGTTCATATTCGTTTCCGTCCATTGTCGTTATTTATTTAGTCATTCAGAACAATAAATAGTTAAATGAAATATAAAGCAAAATAAAGCATTTTAATACCGTTTGTTTTAAAACCACAACAATAATTTTCATTAGACACTGATGGGATCTAAACACATTGTAAGATATAACACAAAAATGTTTCATTTTCGTGTTGTGCTACTAGAAAATGACTATAACACTGAAACATTCTCAACATAGAGAAATATTGTTCACTATTATATGACACAGATAATCTACATGCAATGCAAAAGGTTTTTTTTCGCTTTACATATTGATGTGCAACGACAATGTTTTCTCTTAAACTTTAATTTCAGAAAGTAAGGCAACTAATAAAACGATTTATGCATGTGATAGTGACCTTCCCAAGCCCATGCTGTGATACTCTGGTCTTTTTAACTACTGGATACTTCAAATCTAGAAACTAAGCTACTATACTTTAAACATGTATGCATACATACTACAAAAACATTTTGGAAAGTATTTTCTGAAATTAAAGGGATACGGCTAACAAGGTTGTGTTGTGGTTCTCAACTACTATTTATCTGATAATGTTTTTATCAATTTTACAACATGGTTTGCAGTCTTGATGTGGATGTTGTGTGAAATGTCTTCGCTTCGTTTACAGGTAGGATTCATGCGATACGCTGGGTACCAAGTGGCTTATATAGGATGGGGTAGGTGCAAAAAAGACTTGCATACATTATTAATTTAACTTTTCACCAGAATTTTAACTGTCTGACATTTGACTATATCAATAGTTTTTTTCGAACGATCTATTAACATTAAAACATACTTTTTAACAAAACGTACAGATTATATAAATAGCATCCCGTAATTCTATTTAGAATGCAGACAGACATCTGATATAAAGCAGCTCTGTCCCACTGCCAATAACTGTACCTACGCATTGGAAAATTATTTTATTCAGACATTGCTATAGCTTTGATAAATCATTTATGAAAAGAAAACCACACCTTCCGGGGATTATATGAAGTTAAAAAATAAATATAAACAATACAATCAACAATAGTGTTCCGAGTGTAAAAAAAACCGCAGCGGGTCTAGACCGAAATTCTAACCCTTTACATACGATTGATATATAATCGCTCGAACCGATTGAACTAACAGGTCAATGGAAGTGTCGTGGACCAACTGTGCTACAGTCATATCCAAATTGGCGTTTAGGGGCGGTAACTGTATATAGGAAAAACCACAGTGCATTTTGACAGGGATCATCAAGTACAGACAACGATTGAAAATTAAAAATGCTTAAAATAATCCTAGAATAATTCACTCATTCATGCTTGAATACAATAATTTCCTATACAGTTTCCAAGTTGCTAAATTGTATATCACTGCTTTTCTCTATATTTTAACGGTATTTGTACAAACCATATATGTTTATTATACTACCATCATTCAGTTTTCCGTAAATCACAGGGTATTTGTACTATAGATAATGTCATTTGTGATTTCCCAACATTTCCGATATATATATTGGAAATTTGTACCAATAATAACAATGTCTCTCGTATTCTAAAAGTGTATGCGTATTATAGCAAGTTCTGTACCGTACAGGCTGTAGTACTAAATGATACTAAATCATACGATATCACTCTGTGTTACAGGTTTCTTTGTACAGATGATTGTGCTGGCTGTGGTATCAATAGTGATAGCAACAGTTGTCGTATTGTTCCAGTTCGGACTTGGGGGTTGGTTTATTGAAAAGCTACATGCAATATGGTAAGTTCTATTCTGCCTAAACCTATGGAGCATATCCAATTGTAATATCTACAATCCACCGTATAATTTGAAATGTTCGTGAATACTTTCTTTAATGGTTTGAAACAATTTTTGTCGTTTCGTAATCCACACTTTTATGAATACCCAATACAAACAAACAGCAGTCAAGTTTATTAATTAAATGTGTCGGGGGTTTTTTCGTGGTTCATACATGTAGCAACCGAAAAAACCACGAATGTTTATATACCATGAACATTTCATGTTGTACAATAGTTATTGGGGGTCATGGTGATGACTTTATTCCGTCTATGCGTATTACAGAGTTATCTTCTCTTGAGAGCAGGTATTGATTGTTACGTCATTGGTTTGTGTGAGAAAATTACCTCGTTTTCTCAAAACTTGATGACGTTAATCTCACAACCAAATGACATAGCAATCAATACCTGCTCTCAAGTGAAGATAGCTCTGCAATACGCAAAGACGGAATATCACTAAGCATTGTTAAATGTTATATTGCTCATGCATTTATATAATTAAGAACTATTGGGATTTGTTTTACATAAACTTCAATTCTGGCTCTATTTTTAGACTTTTGTCTCTGCAAGGGTGGAACGGTGGTGCAGAAAATGCTACTTATCACCGAAACATGATCAAATACTCTTTTTAACGATTGTGTAATGGACATACATATGTTAAAACGTTTGGAAAAAAAATGAAATATTGCCTATTTTGTTATTGATGAATATCGGCTTGTAAGACAGACAAAATAAATTGAGGTCCATGATGAATTCATCTTTCAATTTTAACACAATTCCTGCCGGTTGCGATATTCTGTGTATTAGCTATACCTATATCTTTCTTCTTTGCCTCAATATGGCTAACATTTTTGTTCAATTTACATCAGGCCTGTTCTATTGACAACGTTGGTTGTAAATTTCGCGCAGCTGTTAATGGCAAGATGCGCATTTTTACAGAAGGGAGGTGAATTTATGGCTTTAAACAACAGGTAAGTTTCATTGCATTGCTTAATTTCTATTAAGACAGATCTCGTGACATATTCGAAGCTTTGTAGGCACAAAATGAATTTTGGCAGAAAATGTTACAGTAGATTATGTATTCCGTCTTTGCGTATTGCAGAGTTATCTTCTCTTGGGAGCAGGTATTGATTGTTACGTCACTTGTTTATGAGAGAAACGTCATCAATTTTTGAGAAAACGACGTAATTTTCTCACACAGACCAATGACGTAACAATCAATATCTGTTCCCAAGAGAAGATAACTCTGCAATACGCAAAGACCGAATTTGTCGTTTTAATTTGATTTTGTAAACCGACCTTTTGCATTTGACAATAAGGACTTTGTTTCGCGTTTCTTTTAACATCACTGTATAAGGTTATATGAACATAGCTGTTTGCATTATTCGTCATTTATGACGAACGCAAATGTTTAGTTTAGTTTGGTTTATTGGGGTTCACGTTCAATTAGCATCAAGGTGAGTTAAGGACATGGCTTCATGGATGTCGTTCATGTATGCGTGTGTGATGTATAAATGTAGGATTGAGGCGGTATGTTAATGTGTCTCATTCCTTAGCGTTCAGTATAGCATAACCCCGAAAGTATACTAATAAGGGAAAGCAAAAGTACAAGAAATTTAAATATCACATAAAATAACTATAAATATTTATAAGCACTGAATAAATAATTGCCATACTAGTATAAATGATTCTATTGTCAGAAACAAGGAAGAATAAAAACTCATCACAATCGAATGCATTGTGACCGTTTTTGAATTCCCTTAGATATTATGGTATTCTTATATCTGTAATATATGTTTCTGTTCTCGATATTCATTTTTGATACATGTATATGGGTTATGATACATGTATATGGGTTATGATACATGTATATGGGTTGTGATACATGTATTTGGGTTATGATACATGTATATAGGTTATGATACATGTATATGGGTTATGATACATGTATATGAGTTATGATACATGTATATGAGTTATGATTCATGTATATGGGTTATGATACATGTATCATAACCCATATACATGTTAATAACCCATATACATGTTAATAACCCATATACATGTATCATAACCTATATACATGTATATAGGTTATGATACATGTATATGGGTTATGCTACATGTATATGAGTTATGATACATGTCTATGGGTTATGATACATGTATATGAGTTACGATACATGTATATGAGTTATGATACATGTCTATGGGTTATGATACATGTATATGAGTTATAATACATGTATATGAGTTATGATACATGTAGATGGGTTATGATACATGTATATGGGTTGTGATACATGTATATGGGTTATGATACATCTATATGGGTTATGATACATGTATATGAGTCATGATACATGTATATGAGTTATGATACCTGTATATGGGTTATGATACATGTATATTTGTTATGATACATGTATATGAGTTATGATACATGTATATGGGTTATGCTACATGTATATGAGTTATGATACATGTCTATGGGTTATGATACATGTATATGAGTCATGATACATGTATATGAGTTATGATACATATATATTGGTTATGATACATGTATATGGGTTATGCTACATGTATATGAGTTATGATACATGTCTATGGGTTATGATACATGTATATGAGTTACGATACATGTATATGAGTTATGATACATGTATCTTGGTTATGATACATGTATATGGGTTATGATACGTGTATATGAGTTATGATACCTGTATATGGGTTATAATACCTGTATATGGGTTATGATACATGTATATGAGTTACGATACATGTATATGAGTTATGATACATTTATATGGGTTATGATACATGTATATGGGTTGTGATACATGTGTTTGGGTTATGATACATGTATATAGGTTATGATACATGTATATGGGTTATGATACGTGTATATGAGTTATGATACCTGTATATGAGTTATGATACATGTATATGGGTTATGATACGTGTATATGAGTTATGATACATGTATATTGGTTATGATACATGTATATTGGTTATGATACATGTATATGAGTTATGATACGGGTATATGGGTTATGATACATGTATATGAGCTATGATACATGTATATGGGTTATGATACGTGTATATGAGTTATGATACCTGTATATGGGTTATAATACCTGTATATGGGTTATGATACATGTATATGGGTTATTAACATGTAAAAGAGAAATGCAAATGGTAGTTACCACAACATTACATTTGAAAAAGAAATACACTATAGCCCTACTTTCTTGTCTTAAAGGGACCTGTGTGCTTTTTATTAAATTCTTTTTTCTTTTTCCATTTCCCTGTGAGGTTTATGTTGTTTTTGATCATTTCATGTTTATTCTTTGAAAACATCCTTTTTTTTTAATTTTCAATCGATTATTTGATATAGGAATTAAAAAAATGGCTATTTTCTATAAAATGCCTATTTGGACCCCGTTTTTACTTGAAGATCTCTTTTTTGCCATTTCAGACGTCTGTTCTTCATAACGGTGTATTTCATGTTCTTCTACAATATATTCCTGGGACTGGTTTCTTGTCTGTTGAGGATCCTAAAGGCCATACTAATAGGGGCTTTCTTCCTCCCCCGTCTGGATCACAGCACGTTGCCAAGACGTTTCCAGTGGTTTGATCCAGGTATACACAATATACTATGAAACATACATATTTTTGGATGCTGTGCACAGCATTCATGGCGGTCCTCGCCAAGCCTGGGCAAATCAAAACACTTTATCTTCTTCCGCGAAAGATCTTTAGATAATGTGTTCATTATTTCATGATATGATCAATGCTATAATATGGTACAATATATCTGTATAAGACAAAAATATCAAAAAAAGTATGTAAAGATCTTTAACAATGGCGTTTTGTAATCAGTGAAAGTTCCGAACTATATAGTTCAACTTATTACGCCTCGTATTCAATTACTCGAAAGTGTGTGTAAGAGTTTTCTCCCCTGGTCCATTATTGCGTACTTTTATGCTCGCGACTAGTTGAACGACTGTTTGATAACTATCCGTGATAAAGTAGGCTTCGTGTTTTCTTTGTCTCATTGGAACATTTCCAAATGAAAGAGAATGTTGACTTATACTAAAGTAGCCGTCAGCAGCTGTGCCTAACGAGTTTGTAGATAGCTTCGTGAATATAGCATATTGAACATCAAAAACTAAAACCGTATATACATATTATTCTCATTTACCAGAAACTGAATAATTATATAGGTCTTTAACCTTTGTTACAATATCGAGAGAAGAAGAGATACACAAGGGAATTGCATAAGTCCGTGATTAGACGCACTGGAAATAATACAATCTCGTTTTATTTTTTTGTATAATTAATCATGATAATACAAATTGTAATAATACTATCATAATTATTTATTTATATTATATATATAGCAGTTTGTTTATTTTTATTTAATCGTAATTAAATGTACTTTCCCATAATTGGTTCGCAGGGTTGTCTGGTCAAGGTCACTGTTACTATTTTAATAAAGATCATTGTCTACGCTGTAGCAACTTCATTCCGTGAAGGATTTCCATTGATTTGAAACACTAATTAAGGACCATAATATCAGACAAGTTTCAATTGTTTTAGCAATACTCTACTTGTTATATATATTTATATCGAAAATTATGATGAAGGGATGGACTATTATGACCCTTACTCAACAACATGTTCTTTATCATTTACTGCCATATGCATTCTGTACTGATATACCACCTCCTTTATTCCATTATTTGAATCCTTCATACACAGCATCACTGAGTGTACTCGGCACTTCGATTTTCTTAACTAATTCAATAAAACTTTTTAAAAAAATCTGAATTTTAAGTATCTGGAAAATAAGTCGTCTACAGTATGTGAAATCGGTACATTTTACACGAGACGTTGTACCAAGTTTGGTTTTGAATATCGGTAGCATCAGTCGGGGGTGTGTGATCGTTCTAGAAACGTTTAGAGGTACTGTGTAATCACTAACGTTGGTTGGGTGGTTAGTTTGTTGATTAAGTCGGTTATCTTCATCTACGAGTTCATAGATCAACGAAGTGATAACAAGTTTCAATAAAAACAATTCTCCGTTTGAGTGGGAACTCGTAATTTACAAACGCATGTACACACGAAATAGTGTTTCGTCTGGAAACCACAAAATGTTGGCCCCAGGCAAATATTTTGTTTCGCAGTAACCAAACATCACACAGATAAGTCTGACATCAATGCAGACACTGATCTTATTTAGATGTTAATCAAATTAACTTAACGGTCTCTACTGTCCTCAATGTTGATTGAAGGTAGACAAATCTGTTTATAAATAATGATGATATGCTTTTGTAGGTTTCGCTGCATATTGTGGTTTTATATACGTTGAGAGTGCTCATACGAACCCAGTTGCAATAACTTTCGTCAAAATGCTGAAAATAGAAACACTGACTACAAAGGAACTGGGTGCCGGGACAACTGTTACTAGAGCAGGAAGAAAAGTCCAAGAATCCCCAGCAGCAGTGAAATATATTCCGATGACTGAAAAAAGTGAGTATAAATCTATTTGTATATATGTGAATCGAAAGCTAGTTTTTCGATGATTACAATTAACCTTACGCGTAGAAATAATGTAAACACATGATAGACGAAATGTAACTCTTGTTTATTTTTGAAATTATTAAAACGGAAGTGTAATTTACGTTTTTGGAATGAAGCTTACAAATGGGGAAATACTATATTTTCAATTTAGGTATGGAGCTTTCATGGGAAACTAAGGCATTTTCAATTTCGTTAGGTGGCTTACAACGATGAAATGATGTTTTTACACCTAGATATGCTATAAATACATTAACACTTTTGCTTAGAAATTATAATAAGGAAATAATGCATTCACAATACTGTATGTAGGTTATAATTTGGAATTGATATAAACATGTAATATATATGTAATTATAGGAAATTGATACATTTATATTAGAGTTAGAAACTATATTGGGGAAATGATGCATTTACGCTTATGTTTGGAGGTTATGATTTGGAAATGATACATTTACAATGACGCTTGGAAACTATCATGGAGATATAATTGCATTTTCAATAATGTTTTGTTATGATGGGGAATTGATACATTTACGTTGAGAACTTTTACCGGGGAAGTAATACAATGTCTCTTATGTATTGATGTTATGATGTTTAAATATGGAGATTGAAAAAGGAAAATAAATATAAAGACGTTTAATAATAATAATAATAATAATAATAGACTTTATTTAGATTCGATAACACATTGAGTGTAGGACTCATCTCACATGTTGTCGACATACATTATACCATATTTACAACGTTTCAGTACAAATATTTTACTGATACTTTTGCTCTTTCTGAAAATATGTATTTCATGCCTGAGTAGAATTTCATATTTAGGAAACGTTTATAGAAGTCATGTAACATTGATATCAAATGTCGTTATATAGAGAATAATACATGCCTTTTTCCATATCACACCCAGTATCAACCCGAGACTGCAATATCAGCCCAAGGGCCGAATGCCCGAGGGCTGATATCGGTCGAGGGTTGATACTGGGGGTGATATGGAAAAAGGCATGTTTTATTCTGTTTATTACATACTTACTAATAAAAGCTACTATCTTATTATCTATTTTTCAAATAATAATTAATAAGCTACTATCGTATTATCTAAAAACAAAAACAAAACACAAAACAAAAAAGAAAGTTTCCAAAAGGGATGTGATACGGGTTTTGCGGGCTGATACAGGTTTTGGGGTGTGATACGGCGGGGGCTGATACTGATACAAAAAACCCGTATTAGTAAGTATGTAATGCATATGTTTTCTTGTCAGAGACATTACCATTGTTAAGAAACATTTTATAGGGCAGATAGAGTCCAACACCAAGCCAGGGTTTCGGACCTGAACATATTTATTTCTAGGCTGAAGAAATGTTATGGACGTTATAAAGATATTTTCGACCTACTAGATTTGATTACCTACAATTATTTATTATCTTGGATCGTTCTTGACCTACACACTTTCCTTCATTTGCAATGAAAAACTATATCGGGTGCAATATTTGGTGTATCAGGTCGTCATCATGAATGGGTTGTTTCTCTATCGATTTTGAAGTGTCTGTTCATTGTCAGCCTGAGTTCAATAGGTACTATTTCCTTTTCACCACCCGTATTCCAATGAACTTAGCTATTGTATGGACTTTTAACCCGAAATTACGAAGGTAAACAACAATGGAAATAGCGTATAAATAGGTGTTGCAACGATATTGTTTGGTATCATTGCAAAGGAAACAAAGTCATACAATTTACATTGTGTTATAATTCTGTTTTTTTTTACTAACTTAATGTTCCTTTTTACCTCATTGACCTTTGTGTGATGTATTTCCAGCTGTTCCGACAGTTGACAATATGACCGCCCAACGCAGGTCCAGACAAGCTTTGTTTCGGTGGCAAGTAGCTTACACACTGATCCGGAACCCAGAGCTGCTGGTGCGTAGGAAGTTTGATATTTTGAGAAGTCTGGAGCTGCTCGGAGAGTTGAACAAACCAACGAGCAAAGAAGATATGGTGTAACAAATCATGACAAATTTGTTTAAGTTTAAGTTCAGCGTCAAATGGTAATTGTGAAACACATATTTTCCACATTTCAAAGAAGTTTATGTATACAAGTTTTGATAGGTGTGTTATGTCCCTACATATGAACTTGATTAATAAGTTTATACACAAACCATTTACTTTACTATATATTTAATCGACATATCTTTTTACAAAGAATATTTACATTAGGATATTATGCCCGGGAACCGTTGTTCGATGCATTGATTCCTTTTTATAGATATTTTTAAGATAGTTTTCATATGATTTTACTCATTTACATGTTCACAGTATTTGTATGACATATTACTTTTCCTCTGTTTTGTACCAATGCTTGTTTATAATTAAACTGAAGCTAATCCGCCTCATTCAACCTCCCTATCACTACATTCCTGTTTTAATCCATATCTTCAGATAGTGAACTGTTCAAATCGCCCTTCTTTCGTTTTCCGTGGTCCGTCCGTCGTCCGTCCTTAAACAATTCTTGTTAACGCTTTTTCTCATAATGTACAGAAGCGATCTTTCTCAAATGTATATAGAAGTGCATGTACCCCTAAGTCTTTAGTTGTGCACCTAAACTTTTGACACAGATCAGATAAAACAACTGGACGACAGGCGGCCATTTTTGATTTTGACAGTTAATGTTTGAATTTCTTAGAAAGTACTTGAGGATCACTCTCGAATTTAATATGCAAGTTCCTTCAGGTCTGTAGTGGTGAATGTTAATTTTGAGATTGATCGGGTAAATTAAATAGCCGACAGACGGTCATCTTAGATTTTGACGATGAATGTTTGTTACCGCTCTTTCTCAAAAAGAACTTAGAGAATCATAATCAAATTCTATGTGTAGGTTTCCTTTAATCTTTAGTTGTGTATGTTTACCTTTGTTGCTGATCGGATAAAAAAAATGGCCGACAAGCTACCATCTTTGATTTTGACAAAAAACGTTTGTTGTCGCAATTTTATAGCACGTACAGATTTGATTTGTAGGTTCCTTTTGGTCTGTAGTTGTGCATGTTTATTTTTTGAATCTGAAAGAATAATAACAAAATGCACAACAGGCGGCTATTTTCGATTTTGACAGTTAAGATATGTTACATTGTATCCTTAAATTCAAGAAACAGATTTCCCTCGTACATTTTGTACAAGTGAAAATGTAGTGTTCACATTTTTGCTTATTTTACTAAAGTAACGTTTTAATATGGCCGTCAATCATGATCGATTCACGCCACTCGCTTTCCTGAACTGTGATTCTATAATATATAAAGACGGGTTTATTTATAATATTCTTCATACGAGTAAAATTAACCAGAGTTTGTAGTTCAGTATTAATATTGTTTATATGGTAAACAAATCATATGTTAAAATTTAAGTCGAGTGCTAAAATGAAACGGTTATATTAAATATGAGCTGTAATTAAAACTGTATGCTTAGACTGATTTGGTATGATGAAAATGAATAAGTATGATACAAAATTGGAAACTACCATACATGATGACAACTACTGTACATGTATGTTACATATGAATCGGTATGTTGTTTTGTTATTTGAAGGGTTATGCGTGTGCTTCGTATTGTGTTATCAGTCTGGAACGTTTGGTAAAATTTTAACTCCTCAAAGGAGTTTGGGGACTTATTGCCTTTGCCGTTTTTATTTTTATGTATACGTTCACCATTCATATTCTCATATTTTCCTCATTTTCTTAATTTTCCTCTACCAATGTTTTCTTGACGTTTCCTAGGAGACTTATTGCCAAATACTATTATTGATGATAATTAGTAGATGTGGGTCCCTTTTTATGTCTAAGTTTGCTCATACCTAGAATGTAAGTCTATTTGGGAATAGTATGAACTCTCTGCAATGTATATTTGCGATTAAAACATTTGTTTAAATTCAGTAAACTTATAAGTGATTGACTAGGATTTTTCTACATATCATTTACTGATCAAATGCGTTTCGTATGTCTTCTTTTTATCTGACAATCTGACAGATAATTTATCCAGCGTGGAGTGTGATTTTTTGATTTTTTTTTTGCGGTGGTTCGTTCGTCTTCCATGTCGTTTCATTGTCTTTTTAATCGATTTATAATTTCTATTTTGACTTTGCGTATTGAAGCAAAATTATAGTTTGTTCTTGGGTGTTGACGAGGAGTTTAAATCTTGATTTTAGATTCTTTTTATTAGAGTAAACCGTTAACAGTAGTATCTCAGTTGATACTATTAAATGAAACTGACACTGGTAAATGTCTTTTTTGTATTTTAGCTACAGGTATAGTATGTACTGTGTATTTAGCTAAACAACACCTTAAATATATAACTACACTCTAAAAATTTAAAGTTAGGCAAAACCAGAATTTTCTAGAATGCCATATGCTCAAGGTCACATTTGCTCGACTTTATTAGATTGTTTATAGTAATAATCATGTAAAAGTAGGTGCGGAAAGCACATGATAACTGTTTAACAGTAATTAACTGGGTTACCTTGTCAAAGGAACTGGCCTTGCTAATCTGTGCTGATCTGTGCTTAGGCTAGCTAGAAACAAACACGATGTGGATGATATTCTCTGCACGATTTATTTTTATTAACAACATGTTTGTTCAAATAGTTGAATAATATGTACTTAAATACGAACAAACGGATTATATAATGTACTTCGTCTATCTAGGTTTTCAAATTCCAGTTTTCATTTTATGTCACAATTTCTTTATTGAATATTGCATCTTAAACAAATTCTAAAGGAATTGGGCAACATGCGTAATATATAACCTTGTGTAATGACGTTTTAATGTAATACTGTGATATGTGATGTAAACAACCTTTACAACGAGAAACAATTAATAGAGTGTTTTATCAATATTTCAGAGTGGAAATTAAATGGTAACTACTTGAATATACATTGCATTGCAATGATATTATCATTATAATGTGTGTATGATATGTGCCTTTTACATAGTGAGTCAACTGTTAAAAGGATTTGGTACGCCTTATTTTTGTCACTGTTTAGTTGACGTGTCTAATTGCTATTAGCAGGATACATCGAATGTTTTGTAATTTTGATTTTCAAAACGGTGATGAAAATGTGTTTTTTTTTTACGATATTTTGGATTCACATTTTCACACTCAACTGAACGAACTGAATTGACCTCCATACTGGCGAGACCAAAAGGCATAAATATTAAATAGATCTGTTTTAATACATGTTTACCCTTTCTACCGGTTGATGCATATACCTCATTCTACTGCCTGGAGGAAGACATCTATGTGAGAAAGGAGGAGGGTATATAACTGAGAGCAGGGGACGTTTCAGCTGATTTACAACTACAAAGCGTTCTTCACCAAGTTAGGGTTAGTTGACAAGGGAAGTAACTCTGCCACTCAGGACGTCATTGCGAGATATACCAGGATGTCGGTGAATGTGTTAAATTGGAAATGTACTTTTTACATTCCCGGTGACATAAGAAAATACTCTTTACAAATAAACATGTTCAGCGATATCCATGTAGTGTAATATAAATTATAAAATTATTTTTTATTCAGGGCATTTTAAAATTAAAGTAAACTTCTTACTTTTTAAAAAATATTAGCGCCTATGGTAACAATAACGTTATAATTCAAGAATGAACATAAATTCCATTGCTACTTATACAAATTTTGTGAATTGATATTTTTTTACATATGCTTGTATATATATTTATATATATAAGTATGTTAACACCTTTGACAATATGTGTGTTCAAACTAACATGTGTTTCATATCCATGTATAGTGAAAATGAATTATATGTGGTTATGTTTGTGACAATTAAGTCACACTGAAAATGCCTGAAAGAATATTAGAAATACGCAGAATTAGCTCCTAGACTTGAATTCCTGAAGAAAAAAATTGGTATGCTTTCGTGATTTTTCGTGAATGTAGATCTGTTCAATGATAATCTTTTTAAAATCATAAAATAAACAGCATTACCTGTTCACATATTATGCTTTATCTAATCACTTGTGTTTGCCTTATTTTGTCGCCGGCGATAACAATGCCCCGAAACATGCAGATCTCGAATTATGGGACAGAAATATAGTACCTTAAAATCGGTTTGCGTTAGAAACAGTCCTGCACACGTGATTTGTCTGCGATATCGAGCAATCTGGTAAGACAAATGTATATTGTACGCTCTACAACATTGTAAACAGGAACAATGATGGGTCTCAATATTTCATAAATATAACGTTCCGATTTCAATCACCCTTTACGACCTCAACAAATGACATTAATTTCATTAATTGATACATAAACTATATCAAATAAATTATAACTAATAGTAAAACTTAATCCTAAACTAATAGAGACCATCATTATGTATTTCTATTGTTGTGATGTCGCTATGGCGGGTAGGCATATAACGGACGTCGCTACAGCGAACTATAACGTTACATCATCGTGTATGACGTCATAATATCTGCTTCAAGTAAACACTGGAAAATCTCCTTGATGAGATGAAAGCGCAAAAGACGCATTGTTAAGATTTTTTTCTTTTTATATGATTTATATTTATATATGATATAATTATCACAAGCATCCAGTCAACGTGTCTCCACAAAGACAATAACTTCTACATGTATCCTTCATGCATATACATATATGTTTTGTTAAGCATATCTTTTTTTATCTGGTCCCGAAAAATCATCTGTTATACAACGATAGTCAAATGAAATATGGAAAAAAACGTATGAAAATAATGCTTTTTAAACAATTAACGTGAATATATGTATGTCTCAAGATCTCGGACTTTTTTTATTACCATTTCTATAAGAAACTTGAATATGAGCACTAACTGTTGTTTATTTATTAATTTTAATGTTTAAGTTTCTTGATTTAAGGAAAAAGGTATTCAATATGTAATTTTAAATATTTCTGAAAATTAAACAGAGAATATAAATATAAAATTATTTGACAAAAAAATATCAGAAGAAAACAGAGCGTACCAAAGTGTCACCAAAACCATAGTTCAAACGCAAAATCGATAGAACTGGGGTAAAATATGACTTAAATAATAATTTACATGGATAACCTTGCAAAAGTACAAGAATAATAAGCTTATGTGTTTAGGAAGAGTAAGCGTCTTCTGCTTCATCAATGACACCCTCCGTGTAACTCCAAGTCGAATACAAGTACGTCACGTCCTAACATCGATAAGTCGAGTAGTGACAACCAAACAACAAAGTACTCTAATAATCACTAACATCGACCTTCGTTTCACACAAAGAAAGAACATATTTCCCTGTAATAGCGACCGCAAAACCTGTCCGTAGTTTTCGTCAACCTGCATCTTTGAAAACCCTCTGTGTTAGTTTGCATTCGAAATCTTTCACGCAGGTCATGATATTCGGATCAAGCTCCTAAGTAAAGAATCAACTGCGACATGTAAATAAAGTAGGTAGGGGAATACCAGGGATGTTGTACTCAAAAAGGGAGATTTCACAATAGGAAAGTCGGAATCGTCCGGTTTATCGTACAGTGCAGCTTAGTAGTACGACGTCCCTTGTGGTCATGCTATATGTAAAGATCGAGAAAAGCGGCTGACGTTGACGGGTCGGTGGAGTCCTTGACTTTAAGCTCAGATTACAATAATGACAGCTTAATGACAGAAGCTAACGTTTGGATTTTGTCCTTGGTAAAATACGGGCCAGGACCATTTCACTATCATTGTTCAAATTATAGCCATTTTATCTGTGATTATAGATGTAGTATTGCTTCAAATATTTTGACCTTGATTGCCGTTCTACTTGCTAGGTCTTAGAGATTATGGAAAGAAATGTCTTTTCGGAGATAAAGTGCTACTATCGACTGTCACTAACACATGTGCACCGCTAATATCTAAGGTTGTAACGTTGGGAACAAACACCCGAAAGGTCGAACGGAAATATGTAGTGTTTCTCATCTTTTTACATAATACTACCTGATATAATTGTTTCCATTCATAAAATGTTACATCTTGTTGATCATGTATATACAGACTCATCTCTTATTATTTTATAATGAACTGTAAAATTATAGATGTACGTATAAATATATATTTATATTGCCCATTAAGGTTATACGCTGTATGAGGTCTGACAAATAGGGTTTAGGTAACAAAGCTGTGGTAATTGTAATGATACAACTAAAATCACAAACTACAAATGGTTAAGGGTAGTTTGGAAGGCTGTTCTATAATTCTGTTGCAGCCTTGTACAAATTTCAGTTTCAATGATTTACGTTGATATTTTAAACAGCAAGTAAGAGACCACATAATGCTGAAACGTATGGTAGGGACACGCAACTAGAAATACACTAGATTTCTATTGCACATGGGGCTTAAATAAGTAGAACAGAATACAAGAGTTATGTTCCCTTGTCCTGGGGTACGCGTAACAATACAGCAAAATGTATGTTCCACGTTTTGCAGATGCATCGACAAAGTACCGGCATTTCCATTCATTATAGCATCACCATAAGCACCCGTAGATATCACGAACAAATTATCCAATAAGTTTATACCACGTAATCAAACAACAGAGTTATTCGGATGCAAATTCGATATAACTTTGAACAAAGGAAATATGTTTATGGAAACTCATGCCAAATGGTCGAGAAGAATAAAACCGGGTAATTCTAAGTAGAAGCACCCTCATCTTCATTGACGACTGCAGATTTGTAAATAAACCTGACATAATATCAAGTTAGATATTTTGGAAATACGTAACAAAACGAAATATGTCAAAAGTAAACAAATATCTGTTCTCTTATTACATCGGTTTCACTTCAATGTATAATAGTTTATGGCCGTAGTTTGTAAACGATGACTCAATGCTTTCAATTGTGTAAGATTTGTCAGTTTGGTGGGAAATTGGTAGCGGCAATGAAACTATTGATAACCTCATGATTATTAGCTTTTCTTTGCATATTCTTTGTGGCATTATTGTTTGGTAGGAATCGATTTGTTTATGAAAACATCTTATCATAATTATCTTTCCTTTTGTGTTTTTGATTTCAGCGATGCGTAGCTATTAAGCACACAAAATCAGAACAGGTCAGGTTAAATCGAGGTTGATGACGTTGTTAGTGCACTCATGCATAGCATAATACATGTGTAATTGTCTCATTGCATGCAGGGGGATTCCTGACCTGTTTCTACAATGTAATCATCAAATTGTACAGCTTCCATTATTCACAGTTTACAATCACATGGAATTTTGTCACTACGTCTTCTCTTTCTCCCTTTAATATTTTGTCTACATAGTGGGAGATAAATCAAGGCTGCAAGAGAAAATTGTTCGAGCGACAAAGGGGTGATATCTTATTAGTTATAAGTACATGGTCCTTATTGAGGCAGGAATTACCCCCTCCCCTTCTCACACACACAATAACACCTGCACGCTACCATCCAGGCCAATAATAGTGATTGATATAATTTGATAGAACTTGATTCATATCAACAGCAAATATATAAAATGTGATTTATTGTATGCTATTTACCCGAATACAGGCGTCCGCGAGTCATGCGGTATTTTAAGTATTGATCTATACCACGATATGGTATATAAATAAAACCCATTCATTCAGCTAGAGGTGAATTATTGGGTTGTCGATTAAGATGGTTTCCAGCAAAGGTAATATAATCAGTTATGCCATAGTTTCTCATGACAGGGTAACCATTAGTTCGAACACGTTGATAAGGCAGTAGTTTTACTACTGTTCTCAAGATATTCTAGACTTCTTCTTGAGAATTATCATACTGACTACCCATGATAATGAATTTAACATGCCCTGTTAGGACAACCCAGCTCTTAACCTCGGCTATATAAAGAATGTATTTGGGGAGACTAGAGTGTCAGCGTTCATACACAAAAAAAACTTCACTTGTCAGGCCACCCAGTCAAACAAAGCGCTTGTCTAATTACTAACGGTAGAGGAGATTGAACAAATGTCCTAAACAAACATTAGGTTCCTGTTGGGAGTGACTCAGGTCATTTACCCTGCTATTTATCATGTGCAGTTCCGGTTGTTTGTGACCTTTTAAGCTGCCCTGTGTTAGCTAAACAACACATGTACGAACGTGCGGCAGCTGTGTAAGACGTGTGCTGATAAATCCATATTCCTGATTTTTTCTTCTATATTTACTTCTGATGAACAACGAGAATGGACTGTGTATGGAGAGGTAAGTGACCGTTAAAATGGTTTGGTTTATTTTGATAAGGTTTATGTTACTTCATGTGTACATACTGTATCTTCATTGTAATTGTATGTATTATTTTCCAAACATTTCTGTCGTATACAATCAATAGAGTTTAATGAGTGGGGAACACGAAAGGGACGGTTTGTCAGATTGATGTAGGATATGGATAAAGGGGGAGAAAGAGAGATTTATAAAAGTACATTAAAAAGAGGACACACTGAATTACAGACGAGTAAGTAAGATATTTGTCATTAACCAGATAGACATATAGCTTACAATATTAACGTATTTAAATTACGGGAGAGAGAGTTAGAGATCTAGAGCGGAGAGAAAAGAGGAGATCCAGAGAGGAGATATTTTGCAGTATTGATTGAGTGACTTCACACTTCGTAGACAAAGGTTAATTCTCAATTTCAAAGATAGACAGAAAGTCAAAAAATAGACAGAAGAACAAAAACAATTACGTATAAGGAGAGAAGGAGAAGACAGATAGTCAGCGACGATTTAGAATAAAACAATGTGACAGACAAACATTGGATAAGATGTGAATAGGGGATAACGAAAGTAGAACAACTTGTAGATTTCATTAAAGAAAACAGGTCAGGAATTTCCGAGCATGCAGTGAGATAGTTACACATATACAGATCCTGTTTTTCAGGAGTGCACTAACTACGTCATCAACCTAGATTTTATCTGACCTCTTCTTTTTTGGAGTGGTTATTAACAACGATCCACTTCAATTAAAGACACAAAAACCAATCATAACTACAATAACAATGTTTTCAAAAAATATCCAATCTTAAATAACAATAATGACATATGTATGTCAATAATAACAGATACATATAACATTAGAAATAGTTTATCTGACGTTACCTATTTCTCGCGAAGCTGACAAATATCGCACGATTTTGCTGTGAGTCAATGTTTACAAACTACGGCCAGATTCGTTATACATTCTAGTGTAGCCTAATGTAATAAACAGGACAGATATGTGTTTCCTTTCGACACAGAATTTTTAGTGACATATTTCCAAAATATTTTAATTGATATTATGTCAGGTTTATATGAAATAAACAGAAAACATTTCCTCTGTGAACTTTTTAAAATGATTTCAAGGGACGCATCCGTCCAATATGAAATGTAGGTGTCTTTCAAGCTGTTTTTTAATGACTTCTGCGAAAAATATATCCACTTCCTGAAATGTTTTTTCATTTATTTATTTATTAAATGAAAGAAGCAACCTGCAGAATGAAGGACATAACTCTTATATATCAATTCCGAGAGTAATGCAATAAGCACGTCAGATCATTTCTACTCTCATAGGTATCCTCGAAGCATAGGGAGCTAAATAACAGGGGAGCATTGAATTAGTCGCCCAAACCTATTATGCAGTTTAAAAAACTGGTATGTTTTTAATTCTACATCTTCATAATTAAATGATTTATATAATAAGATATTTTAAAAGTTGTCGTAAAGCAGATCAAATGTGAATAAAAATGTCATATACTAATAACGGATTCTAATTTTAGTAATTGTTTATACTTGCACTTATAAGAAAATTTATATGCGTGCACATCGTTCAGTTTACACTGTGGGATATAATCGCAACCACTAACGCACACGGGCTGTATAATGCTAGATTAGTCATGGCTTGTTTACTTTCTTATATTCTCTCATGAACATAACAACGAAATTATTTAGAAAAAAATATATTGTTGTCAAGATAAAGGTAATTTCGGTGATATCCGGATTTCGTGAAATCCATTTGCACCCTATGACATTTAATGCGTCAGGCCTGGAGTTGCCTGATGACTTGAATAAAGTTCAAAGTTTCCAATAGGCGATAGCTACACAGCTATGTTGAAACCTTTAGGTACCCTGCAAAGAACTGTTTACTATATTAACACATGTTTCACAGATACCATATACATGTAAATGTGAATGTCTCCTTTATGATGTTTTTATTTTATGTATTATTACACGACAAACGACTGTAACCCTCTCTAGCTGAGAAGCATACTAATAACTGTCACGCCACTGTTAACATACATATATGTTGTTAGATTTATATAAACCCAACTATTTCCTTGCAATGACACTACAATGGTGGCCTTTCAATGTTTCCGAGTTTCTGCAAACGTAAGTAAAAGCACATACACTGAAACCTCCTTCTAATGCCATCATTTTGCAGGAGAAATTTGGCATCATGAAGGGGTTTAGTGATAACTTGTAGGAAATATATGAATGATCTGCTAAAAAAAGGAGAAAAAAGGACCTTGAAATATGCTGGCGGTGATTGAGGTGGCAAACGAAACGAGGGTATTATATTGAACTGTTAATGTATAACTTTAGCTAGTGTAGATACCATGACGTACCATAACACTTTTACGTTAGCCCTTTTTCATTCGATTCTATGTAAATTTAGTGTATTCCATAAAACTATTGACTTTGTTTTTTTGTATTAACTTTTGATGGAACTGTCTAGCAGCTAGAGAATTATAAAGGGTGTGATGATATCTATTTCATAATCCCTTTCCCTTTTCGTGGTATTTCAACTGTGCTGAACTCATTGGCTAAAACCATTCATACAGCAATAAATATCAATGAATGTAAAACGAAACCAAGTTAAGAATTTTGAAAGCACATAAAATAATACAGGATCAGTTGTTAAATGGAGTATCTTAAAAATTTCCGGAATGTCACTGTATATGGACTTTTTTAGGGAAATATATTAAAACATTATAAACATTTATCACATAATGTACTGTGTTATCCAGTGAATATACCCATGTCATATGTTTTTGCGTATTAACCAATGTAATATGACCTATCAACCATGTGACTGGTTGTAAGTTTCAATTATGACCTCACGCCTAGGACAAGAACATGACGTCATAGACTTAAGCACTGGAGTCAAAATGGCGACTTTTTACATTTCAAGGTAGCATACAATTGTCTTATTACACGAATAAATGCCACAAATCTTGATTATGTGATAAAAATGATCTTACACTCGTTTTCATTTTATATGAAATTTATGAAACTCGTCATACATTTTTTATTTTTTTATTTTTTATCTTAGACTCGTTTCATAAATCACATATGAAATGGAAACGCATGTAAGATCCTGTATATATCAATATACACTTCGATTATTAAAGCACTTAAGCAATATTTTGGTAGCATGAAGCTGGTATGCCAAAATATTTACAAAAACATGTAAAAAATAAGTGGTTATCGATTTGAATGCAGATTTGAATTACATTTATGTAAGTACAACGGATGATTATAGCCTTGTTTCTCAAGCGATCAAATGTATTTATAGATACATAATCATTGTTGTGTGTCCCAAAATCCCGTACTGTGACCTAGGGAAACCAGGGCTTTGGGGGGCGTTCGGCCACGTTGTGGAATAGCTTAATTACCATCTGTTATAGGAGAGTCAAACATCCTGGACGAATTCAAGAAGGATAGAAACAATGACCTCTTCACTTCTGTATTTTAGTGTCTTTGCACAGACGTCATGTACATACCAACTTTTATTTATTCATGTATGTACATATTGAGATGATAATCTTCCTGCTTAATGTATAATGGTGATTATAAACCTTTTTTGTTTATTTTTTTAATTAATAATACTATCCATATGTTGTAAAGCGCTTTAGAGTAGTTTTACAAATTAAATAGGGCGCTATATAAATGTTGTATGTAACTATTATCATTATTATACGTGAAAAAATCTAAATTCGGGAATCTAAAAATGACTACGCTATGGTTTCGTATATAAATACAATTTTAAAATGTTTGTGAGTATTTTGCATACAGCAAAGAAAAATGTAATTACAAATTCTTTTTATCTGCTCGTGTTTACAAAACAATACCGTTTGCTGTTAGCTGCATGAGTAACATGTTGTCTCTGCTTTATTATGTTTGCTATTCAATAAAAGAAATTGTCACACCAGAAACCTATTTGAATATCACCTCAGATTATTATGTATATTTGTGTATTATTGTTATAACATATGGCTCTCAAATCTTTAACTGGGTCATTGGCGATTTTTCCACCAGATAAATCATGAAAGAACAAAATGTTTCACCCAAAGCATTGTTATGATTAGGTTTAAAAACGCATAGCTGTATCCAGATGCAAATGTAACGTGCAGGCTGTCACCCATCCAGCTACTGACTAATCTCAACGCTGCTGAACTAGTGAGCTGATAACCCGGGTTATACCGCATTGATGGAAAACCTAACTTGCCAGTAAGACAGCATTCTTCTCCTCACATTCCTTAGATGTTACACTAAAACACTTATCTCTTAGCCAAGATAATTACAGAGGTAGGTTATATAGAGTATACGTGATAATATGAATATATTCAACTTTGATTTAATCCAAAAATTTGGTTGTCGAATATTGCGTGCAGTTTGTCGCATAAAATGTGGTTTTCACATAAAAGTCAATACATTAAATATGGACGCCAGCTGTCACTTTCTCTCTCGCTCTTACCTAGACACTCCGTATTTCCATACGATGCGGTACACAGGTGTATAATCCTGTTTACCAGACAGGTACAATTATGTGACACAGTCAACAATATGACGTTGTTGTAATTGATTACATTTAGTCCGAGAAAGTACTGATCAGAAAGTCAAAACCAAAAGTACGCATAATTGGACTTAATTATATAGGTGCAGATGCAGATGATACATGTAGCTAATTTATATAGGTGCAGATGCAGATATTAGCTAAGGAGTAGCTAAATGACTCCATGGTTTCTTTAGTCTCAACTGACCAGCTATAAAATTGATTTGTGACGGGTTTAAGGACTTTATGATAGATGATGGCTGTATGCAACGTTATAGTCCTAGGACATGGACTGTATGCATAGCTGGACTTAATTGATATGGGTCTGGGTTATAAATATAACCAAGAAAGGAGATAGTTGAGTGGGGAAACGAGCTACAGATGGCTGGAGACTGCGCTAGAGTACAGCTACAGATGACAGAGACCTATCCTAACACTTGAGATTACCAGAATGTTCAGTCGTGTTTTGTTACAATTATTTTTTGTCTGCCTATCACAAGAATTTCAGTTTAATGGTATTACACCAGATCCGGGTCAGTTTAAGATACACTCTGCGTTGTATGAAAGCAATGATGTACTAGCTAGTTGACAGGCTAACCCTTTTAAGTGAATCCAGGCTAATGGTTCACTTTATCACTCTCTGTAAACAGGATACGTTATCTGCTACACGTTAACTGCGAGCCATTTCAAACTTAAGTCCACTCTAATATTTTTATGGTAATTTATGTAAGCAAAGAAGTAATAATGACTTTATTACTCTACCGTAGTCAGTACTGGAAAATGTTCTTATAGTTCCGTCTTCAAATGTTTTGTTTACAGGAGCAAGTACATAAAGATACCACAAATACAATAAAACACTCAAGACGTGAGATACAATGTACGTAGGCAGATATTGAAATGTAATTTTAGAAGGTTTATAGTGTCTACGTGTCACGAGTTATCTCGATAAACACACCTTGGTTGAAGCTAGTTCCAAGGTTCAGTCTGTAAGAAAGAAAATATATGGTTAACATGAATACATCTTCACTGTGTTTTGAACCGTTGGTTATTCAGCCTTTTTTTCTTTCTATGGTATGTTCAAAAACATCATGGCATTTCAAATTGTGCTTAAGGATGCATTCTTCTGAGGTTTCAATCACGTTCAAGTCTCGTTTTGATCTGGTGTAGCGGGTTTTTGTAATATTTAACAAATTATGATAAAGTTTATTAGCAAACACGCATCTGAAAAATATATCAAAAAACTAGATGCCTGTTGTTTGTAGAACTTTTTTACAATAATTTAAAAGAATTACCAATTTGAAAATGTGTATTAATGTGTATTTCTTGCGCTTCAAAAAAGGCAAACATTTCACCTTTTTTGACACTAGATTGATCACTTAAATTATCATTGTGTCACTATTTTTAATTGTAGTAGGTTCAATTTTGCTGTACAACTTTATATTGTTTAATATGATAAAAATAATATGCAACAAACTGGAAAATTATACATTACTGATATATTCTTTTTACATATTTAGTGTAACTGTAGCACTTTTGATTTTTGACCCCGAAAAAGGTAAAAAAAATATAACACAAATGATAATGGGACAAAAAAAAGAAGCACACGGACCCCCCATTTTTGTCGATGTTTTGGAAAGAGAAACACATTTTCTTTTAACTCATTAAATATTTATAAAAAAAAGTTTAATAGCAGAACTTTTTATATCAAGCGTTTAATCTGCAAAAAATGGTAAAAAAATAGTATTTTTTCATTAGAAAATAGGGGGTAGGGGAAAATATGATAGGCTTTCTGTGTTAAAAGAATAAGATTAAGAAGTTTTATTTCCATAATTTAAAAGAAAAAAATATTTTCATCAATTCTACAAATATTCATACATATATGATATCACACCTGGAAGAAATTGTATGAATTTGTTCTGCAAATGGTCAAACCCCCAAAAACCACTTAAAAGCTCATGTTGTGTTAATTTGGTATCTTTGACCGGTCATAGCACAAAAATGAACACACTGACATTTAGTTTTGTTTGCATTTTCTACTATGCCATAAACTCCTTTTTCCAAAAATCCATATAAGAAAAAAAGTTTAATACAGGAATATTTTGACTTCTCAGAGGTGTACATCTTTAAAGTACTCGGAAATCAAAATCCAGTCTTATAAATGAATGATATCCAATTTACAAAACTTTAAGTAATGATTACTGACCAGAATAATGCATGGTTGGAACAATAGCAATCTAATTAAAATTATATCTTCACATCGCTCCCGTTTACTGATATGTCGCGTTGAAGATCTAACAACATCCCATAAAGGGTCACGTCAGAGGTCAACATGAATGCATTATCGCATTTATAACAAGCCAATCAAAACGCGACATAACTCTTTCATTCAACTAATCAGAAAGCAGGACCTGTAGCATTTAATGCAGACACCTCGTAGCCCAAAATCCACTTTTTCGTCTGGTCCAGTGATAGTTTGAATATTGCGAAGCCTGTCATTGTTTAATTTTAGTTTCAGGTTGTTAAACGTTTTAACGACAACATCACCAGAAGAGGAAGTCTCTCTTATTTCAAAGCAAAATCCACAAATTGTACAAACGTTGTCTTGTAGATAGACACGGCGTGGTGTCATGGGCGCCGCCATTTTCGATGTTCATTTGACACCTCTCGGTCTTTTATCATAGCAAGTGTGTTCCGAAATCATTACATCATCACTTACAGAAATGCGTAAGCTCTCATCTGATTGGTTAATGCAAAGGTCGCCTGAACATGACCCTCTACGGGATGTTGTTAGATCTTCAACGCGACATATCAGTAAACGGGAGCGAGTTGTCTTCAACGTACTTTTATAAATAGTCGCTAGAAACCCCGACATGAAACTTCTTCCAGAGGAATTGAACGGCAATATATATATATTTGACACACTGATCAAACGTCAATTAAACTGAAATATCAAACTCTGATATGAGGAACAATCAGATAAAATTTTATCCCGTCACTCGCACATTAAAATAAAGCAGTTTAGCTGTAATATGTGTAATACGTAAATACGATGATGTGTTGTCACATTATTGGGTAAAACATGGGACGTATGCAAGTCTATCAGTGAACACCGATATGTATTTGTTGGTATTCAGTGCGTGACCATTGTATCATACCTGAGGTTTTTCTCTACCATAGTAAGACTCCAATGGCAGAGGTAGACGAAGCAGACGACAGCATGCTTGGCAAAACGAAGATCTCGCCCCTAAGACGATGGATCAACGAAAACTTCCTGCTAGTGCTCACTTCAGTAGGGATCGTCTTCGGTTTCATTTTAGGATTTGGGATCCGAGAGGTGAACCCCTCTCCCGAGCTTCTGACGTGGATAGGTATGTTTATATATATATCTACGTGTAAGTTACCATGCTCTATTCAGGGGCGCAACTAAGGTATAAATTGTGATGTGTTTTCTAGCGTCGACGGCGATAATGATTCACAACAGGCGGGGCATATTGGACAAAAACATGTTTGACAGAATTTATAATAGTGAGTTTATTTACGTTTTTATGCACCTGCTCGGTTTAAACGAAAATAGCTCACTAGTTAATTTCTAGTAACGGAGGAGAAGCCTGTTAAGTTTTATATTTAATTGATACAGTTGTGGGGTCGCACAACGTTACACGATGTGCGGTGTGCGCACGATGTGTGCACGGTGTGTGAACGGTGTGTGCACGATGGGCGAACGATAAAAAGCTGTACGATCATTGCTTGCGCACATCTGTGTGCACGATGGACGGACGTTGTGCGATAACAATCGTGGTTTGTGTAAATTGAGGAATGCCTTAACAATTTATACGGTTTCGTATTTAAACATATAAACTTGATGTTTACGTTTGTTTCTATATCCTAGCAACATCTATAAACTTATCTTTCTGTCTATCCATTCTATTATTTAGAAATTTTGTTTTCTGTGTTTTTAAACAAACTTAATCGACACACATGTAAAATTACAACACAATCCCGTATACAGGTAAACCACGGAATTAGATTATCTAAGACCGTGGGTAAACATAACCACTTTGTACATGTATCTGTACCGTAGTTTCCTCCCCGCCTGAGGCACTTACGTAACTCGTTTTGTAAGGCCGGGGGTGTGAAAACCAGGTGAAGGGGAGCTATAGGTAAACGAATGCAAATAACAAATACTACTCATTAAGGTCAAACGGTATCGCATATCAGCTCTGTGTGTCAGGCACTGGTCAGGACACTCATCAAATTGTTATTTACCTGTTCTGTTACCTTGTAGCCAAACCCATTCTTGACAGCCTAACGGTCACTGTTATACGGTGTAACACGCATTGTGAAATTGTACAATCTTTATTATTGTGATGAGAAATTACAGATATATACACAGTGTACATTATCGCATACGAGCCTTCCATATTTTTGTCATTCCGTAATTTTGATCTACAAATGATACCAAATCGCACAGTTGTGCGGAGAAAAACTCACAACGGTGCGAACGATTGCTAAATCGCACAGTTGTGCGCACCATGTGTGGACGGTGTGCGGACGTTGTGCGAACGATGTATGCACGGTGTGCGCACGCTATTTTTGGTGCGTTGTGCGGTCCCACAACTGTATGATATATGCCAATCGACGCTTTTATATTCTCCTTTAAATATGATGGCTTTGGTTATTATATGACGCCTGATATCCTTCATGAATAGGGTTAAAATAGTTTTATTAGCGAGCCGCAATATTTCATACATATATGTATACTTTACCTGTGCATTTCATTCATGTATGTGAATAAATGTACTAACTTGAAACGCGTATGGCTTGATCTTGGAGTATATCAGCTGTTAATTGATTTTGCCAATGGCATCAAGGTATGAAGACATCCTATGTACTCTTGTTAAACATATGTAATACCTGTGTTTCACTATTACAGGTATGCCGGGAGAACTCTTTATAAGGATGTTAAAGTTGATGATTATACCTCTCATTGCCAGTAGCGTAATTGCAGGTAGGTTAGTTTTTTTTTACATACCTGGTGAATCTTACCTTATTGATACAGACTAGTATCAGGCCATGCAACAAAAATTCATTATTTCAAATGGTGATAAAATAATATAATGTATTTCCCCAATGGCATTATTCCGTTATCAGCGTTGTTTTGTCCGCCATTAAGTTCGGCTAAAGTTTTAAGGAAGTACATTGAACATGAATAAGGGGTAATGCTGAATAAAGTTCTGCAGTAAATATGATATGCATATGAAGAACGATTGTAAATAAAGCAATATCACATATGTATGTTGTATTGCGTACCTGTTACTTACATGTAGCTGTATTATAGTGAAACAAACTATTTTCAGGTCGTGCGGTACAAGGTTCCATATGTAACAATTTGATCGCCCAAGTAGTAGTTCTACCCCGGATAATGCCGAGTAATGCTGTACAATGCATTTAAAAACTATTTTTATTCCGTTATAAAAGCAATTTGACATCTAAGTGTATCTTAAGTCTCAGATTGAAGTTATAGTAAATGGAAGTAACGAGTTAACGCTACTGACATTGATATGGCATGGCAGGAAATTTTGCCTTTTCATGCGGCACGAATTTCGGGGAAAATATTCAAATACACTGTGTTAGCAAATATTGTCATTGAACAGAATGTATGCAATAACGATCTGTGTTAAAAAATGTATACATGTAATAACAATCGAAATTGACAACTGCGGTCAATTGCTTTTTTAATACTTTTTTGGTGATCGTGTGACGGAGTGGATAGCGCACTAGTCTTTCTCCAAGACAGCTAGGCTTTGATTTCTCGAACGGACGTGCAAATGTTTGTGGTCACCTGCTCGATCACGTGGGTCTTCTCCGGTTTGTTGGCTTCCTCCCACAATAAATACCTTATTCGCGTTTCTACCGGAGCCAACAAGAGTGGATACTATAAGTACCTTGTGTCATAACTGTTGTAAAATATATACAGTTTGTATACTTTCAGGAGACGATTAGCACATTCGTTTAAATTCCAGTTTACATTTACAGATTTGATATCATTCAAATAATATGATTGAACTTTCACAATGAAAATCGTTTGAATAATCTATCGATGTATAGCATGTTTATTTTCCAGTGGACGGGTATCGAATCATTGAGTTTTGACGTCACATTTGTAAAGTCAATCTTAGGGTGAAGCCTGACGGTTTGGCTCATTGAGCACAAATCAATCGCTCACATTCACACAATAAAGAACGTACGTTTTCGTATCATGTTAGCCGATTGCAGACATACTAAAAATACCAAATAGAATTGGGGGGTTTTCCTATCAATCACGAATTACAAATTCGATATTAAACCAATACCTGTAATTGAAATATAATTTAAAAAAAAAAATTTCATATAAAAAATATGTATATGTTTATATTTTAATATATTTATGTTTATATATTCAAACCTTCGTTACAGCAACTGCCTCACTGGACGCCAAGTCTAATGGCCGGATAAGTCTAGTGGCTTTTATTTTCATCACCGTAACAAATGTCCTTGCATGTGTCATCGCCATCGTCCTTGCCCTCATAATGAAACCAGGTACATTAATTTTTACTTTGTAACTTTTGAATATGAAAACATGTTAAAATTACAGGCTTTTATTTACATTAGGACATACACTGGTTAATATTATATAACTTACTGCATTTATAGAACCTGGTTTTGAATTATCACAAATTGCTAAATGACACACAAACAGTACGAAATATGCATCAATCTCTTTGCATATCCATACTCTTCATACTTTCCCTATGTGTTCCAAACTTACCAAAATTTCTTGGTAGTTATAGATGTATACAAATACATACAGGAAGGGTTTACTTTGAAGCAAGAGATATCACGATTTACCTAACCATCGTCGCAAATAAAAACATTTAATACAGCCACATGATCAATTGTAATTAACTGAACCGTATATAAGCGAAACAGGTGAAAGATGTTTTTAAAGATCTGTGTACGAAAGCAATATATCATGACTTTAGTCTAAAGCTTCTTTATTTATTCTGGGACCTAAACGTGGATATTTTCTTTAATTGTTGGTATCTAACGAACATCCCGGAACGACTTTGATCCTGGAAAAACATAGATAACTGTAAAATAATGAAAGATGGTACATGTGGACATTTATTCGGTATTCATCTATAACATATCATAAATAAATTCATATGTTTAGAGGTGATATACTCTGTATCTGGTAAAGTTAGGGGGCGTACCTCATTACTTCAGTTTGATGGAAAGGTGAAGTACAGAAATCTTCGACTATTAATGTATAATCTATGCGTTACAACGTATATAAGCCACTTGTTGAGTGGCTTGCATTGATATATACATGTATATGTTGATCCTGTAAACTTTAATGACCAGGATGTTGTCATATTTTATTATGATTTTTCTACCAAGGTGTTGGAGTGACTTTTGTGACAACAGAAACGAAATCTACTGCTGTTGTGGAAACATCGGATGTTTTTGCAGATTTACTTCGGTAAACTTTGAACATCTGCCTTTATGACATTTGTATTTGCAATATATAAAGAAAGTGGTACTAAAATATGTATATTTCACGTTTTGTTTCATATTATGCATGCATGTACGTCGTCAGCTCGGGATTTCTTTTCACGGATGAAAAGTTACGTTTTTTTAATTTCCACGATTTATTGCAAATAGAACAAACATTTTTATTATTTCAATCAACCAAAATTAAGTGTATATATCTCTGTTAGATTGTTTGTTTTTGTTGTGTATACTATACGATGCACCTTTGTTTACGTTTCGTATAATCGATATACTCTTATTAATTAAAGCATTAAGGATCCTCGTACCACTTCAAACACTGTAAATAAACATTGAAAAACGTTTTTTACCAACATAACTATAGCGCTGATAAATCATTTATGGAAGGGAAACCACATTATCTTTCGGAAACTTTTATGATAAAATGAAGATGAAATAAACAAACAAAATATTATAAACAACAACGTCTCTTGGTGTAAAAATACAGCGGGGCAGGACCAAACCCTTGACTTTACGTCGTTGTACTATTGCTCTAACCGACTGAGCTACCTCTTCAACGGGAAGTGTCCTGGGCCAGCTGTACTTTAGTAATTAAGGGGAGGTTATGGTAGACAACACAGCGCAGTGGGGAAGAGATCCTTAAAGTCAGTCTTCGACAGTCGTCACTTTGTTTAACATTTTTTGTCTTTTTCTTTATTTCAGAAATATAATGCCAGACAATATTGTGGATATGACGTTCCAACAAACAATTACTCAAAATGAAGTCACGTATGAAACCTTAATAAAGAATACTACTAACGGCACTGTTAAGGAGACTGTTAAAAAACTGAACAAAACCGTCGGCAAAACGTCAGGCACTAACTTACTCGGTACGTATTGGCCTTTCATACAAAAAAAGTCTAGTATGACCTATTATAAATGGTGGCATAACATAAATTCGGTACTGAAATTTAAGCAAACCAATACCCAGCCCAAATATTATTTGTGCAAGTTAACTGAATATGAATATAAAATTATCGTGAACATCGGAAGGTCGTAGTTGATATGGAGACAGGGTGCTCACCATTTTGTAATTCCAGACGTCATAATTATACTACGGTCCACAAACGAAATATGATCAGACGCTTTTGAGAATATAAACACTTTGTCAAACAAATCATCACAGTTCTGCCGTTTATATTTCTTTCATTTACTTTAGTATTAGACATGATTTGCTTACTTCATTTGGTACTTCTCATTACGTATTTTCCAATTCCATGCATTATCTTGAGCTATCAATATATTTGTTTACGAATGTTCTCTTTGATGGCTTTTGGTCTATTGTTTTCTTTTTCCAATTTTAAGACAATGAATTTTTGATATTGCTTACGTATACTTTGCTGTAAAATTGTGAAATTAAATATGATTCGTTGTTACATAACTTCCTACTTCAGGTATCATTATGACATGTATGCTGATGGGAATAGCTCTAAGCAAAGCAGACGAGAAAGGAAAACCAGTTTTAGACCTTTTTGAGTCGTTGGCAGACATCTTTCTGACGATACTGCGTTGGTTATTGTGGTAAATTGGCGTTAAACTTATCAGAAGCAGACAATTCGGCTACATGTTTCAAGTTTATTCAATATAGTACTTATGTGTTTGTCAATACATACAAAGTACATAATTTAGATGAACAATTAAGCAATAACTATGCAAGAAATACAACATTTCTTGCTAACAAACACAAGTAAGGTATTCCTTGCAAACCTATGTATGAAGCTATTAGTAAATTTATTATTTATTATTTTAATCTTTTGTTTTTTGTTTTGTAAATATAGTGGATTTTCAAACAAATGTGGATTACGAAAACAGACATTTAGATTTTCTACGGTCTCTGTATTGGTACAATTTGAAAAAATAATTGTGATAATCAGTGCTGATAAATCAATTGTTACTTGTTATCCAAAACTTTACCTGCTAATGTTGTGGAGTCCTTTATACTACTAAATCCTCGATATTCAGGCGTTACGTTCGGCTCTCTGTACCCCTGTAATATGTCATAGCAAAATTAAAGGCACTCCAGTCATTAGATTGGTCTCGGGTAAAGAAACCTGATCAATCACTCGGCTGATACCTGTCCTTTGAAGTTCACAGAGGAGCGACGCCCGACTGCATAGCTGTTAAGTGACCGCAAGATTCACATCAAAGAATCAAACTAGTCTTCTTGTCTCATCCACAAGGTGGCGAACACTGAGCCTTTGATTTTGCTATGATATATTCCAGGGGTGCAGAGAGCGAAAGTGAACGTAACTCCTGGATATCGAGAACGATACTACTATGTCTGATTCTTATTGTTACAGGTTCACACCCTTGGGGATCCTGAGTTTGATCGCGGCGTCTGTGGCTTCTATAACGCAACTTGAAGAGATGTTTCGAGCCTTGGGGATGTTTGTTGGCGTAGTCACGTTGGGGATAGCTGTACATCAGTTAATTCTTATGCCTCTCATATTTTTTGTTTCGACTCGTCGGAATCCGTACAGATTTGCCGTACAAATTGGTAAAGCGTGGATGATTGGGCTTGCCTCAACGAGTACGTAAGTAAAAATACACTTTGTAACTGTTATAGCTGACAATGTATTGAACTGTTGTCAATTGGTTTCCTTGATATATAAAGTCCATGACGTGACAAAAACAAGAATTCGAGTTGATGAGTTCAGCGATTAAGAGCTATACGCGTTTTTGCATGTCGTTTTGTTACATGTATGCTAACATGTTAACATTTTGAGGATTTAAAAACTACAATTAACAGTAAAGGATTATTATTATTCCATTAATATGAGTAACGTTCATTAAAAAGCGGAATACGTTTCCTCTCTTGGAACACTGACTCTATTGTCCTTGTTTTATCCACGTTTCAAAATTATCTTTGTATATAATTTGCCTTAGTTCACCGGTTTTTAGTTCAAAACACCTTGTTTCTCAAATATTAGCCAACTGCGGCACTCTTCTCTAGATGGGTGATTCACGCTTCGTCTTGTTTAATGAAGAACACATTTTTATTTTATATATAACAATAAAAGATGTGTATTTCAGTGAATATGTGTTACATGTATAAAGACCTTTAGAAGTGTTATTGTTTCTCAGATCCATATAACACTTCGTCCCGGTCAGTATCGCTTTCTCAGGTCCATATAACGTTTCGTCCCGGTCAGTATCGCTTTCGTAGGTCCATATAACCAAACGATGCATTGCGATTATAACAGTCAATCAACAAAATGTCCTTTGCTATGTAAAGAACTTATGCTATAAAATTTCAACCGTGTGTTAAGCAGTTACCGTTTATTCCACATGCTCTTAATTAGGTTTTGGATTGGGTTTTATCACAAATATAGTTTAGAAAATGTAATAGCAATGCCATATGAATGGTAAGTGTCAATTGGATAACCAAACTGTCAACAATATATTTCAGATCGTATATTGAGTCTTTCTCCATGCTAAATACATTTGGCTATCTTACAGTGCAGTGGCCATTCCAGAGATGTTGTCTGCGTGCGAGGATGACCAGAAGGTTGACAAAAGGGTCAGTCGGTTTGTAATCCCTTTTTGTGTGACACTGAACGCCGACGGTAGCGCCCTCTTTATAACGGCGGCAGCCATCTTTGTGGCCAACATAACTGGAGTCAATATTAGTTTGGGTGATATTCTCATTATAGGGTAAGTAACTCGTACAAACTCTGATGCAACTTTGAATTCCAATTTGGAAAATAGTGTCTACAACCTAGTCAAATAGATAAATGTTATTTACATATTTAAAATCTCTAACTAAACATTTGACTTCATTTTGATCCAAAATACCACGAGAAGTATACAAAACATCGTAGGCAAATAAATATCAACTTGAAATCGAAATGTTCAGCATTTAACGAGGACAAAATACAAATAATGTAGCTCTGCTTATATCATTTTTATTTCAACTTCAGCATTTTAACCGCCATTTGTTCAATGGCGTTACCTTCGATACCTAGCTCCAGTATCGTTACCTTGGTGATGATATTGACATCCATGAACATACCAGCCGATTCTATTTCTCTCCTGTTTGCTGTTGAGTGGTTTTTGTAAGTATTTTTGTAAGTCGGTGGAACAGTGAAATAAAGGTATTGAATAATTTTAGGTATTTGAAGAGAAGTAACGATGAATGGAAAGTTTTTGCCATTATCTTAATATACACATAAGTTTAATCGTGTATATTGATGTATGTTGCAACAGCGTCTAAGGGAATATAGAACGATTAAAATCAAAGGTATCATAATCAACCGGTTATTAAGATCTGAAACTGTTTCAGATTTGTATTGATACTATAAACGATGTGTCAAAATATAAAACGGACATTTTCTTTCAAAAAAGAAATCATTAATCATTCTGGTCACATTTATTTGTTTGTTTGTATTCGTGTTATGATTAATATCATTAGAAGAAACTAATAGATAACAATGAACGGATAACTGAACTATAAGTATGAACATATGATCACACTGTTTGTAAAACTGTAATAAGATAGTAAACATGTAACATACGAATATAGCCTTAGGTTGATAACATTGCCAGGTTTTTATTTAATTTACTTTGGCAATAGCCTTTGATTTAGTCTACTTTGGCAATAGCCTTTGATTTAGTCTCGTTTGGCCATAGTCTTTGATGAAGTCGAATTTTGCCGAATTCTTTGATTTAATCTTTTTAAACCATTGTGTTTGATTCAGTCTACTTTGGCAATAGCATTTGATTTAGTCTACTTAGGCCTAAGTCTTTGATTTAGTCTACTGTGGCCAATAATTAAGTTTACTTCAGCAATAGTCTTCGATTTAATCTACTTTAGCAATAGTCATTGATTTAGTCTACTTTTGCCATAGATTTTTTATATAGTCTACTTTGGCAACAGTCTTTGATTAAATCTACTTTGACAATAGTCTTCGATATAGTCTACTTTGACAATAGCTTTTGATTAAGTCTACTCTGGCAATAGTTTTTGATTAAATCGACTTTGGCGATAGTCTTGGATTAAATCTACGTTGTTAATAGTCTTTGATTAAGTCTACTTTGTCAATAGTGTTTGATTTTGACTACTTTGGAAATAGTCTTTGATTAAGTTTCTTTGGCGAAAACCTTTGATTTAGTCTACTTTGGTAATAGCCTTTGATTTAGTCTACTTTAGCAATAACATTTGATTTATTCTTCGTAGGCCGAAGTATTTGATTAAATCTACTTTAGCCGTTGTCTTAGATTTATTTTTTCGGCTAAAGTCTTTGATTATGTCTACTTAAGCCATTGTCTTATATTTATCCTTTTTCGGCTAAAGTCTTTGATTAAGTCTACTTTAGCCATTGTCTTAGATTTATTCTTTTTCGGCTAAAGTCTTTGATTAAGTCTATTTTAGCCATTGTCTTAGATGTATTCTTTTTCGGCTAAAGTATTCAATTAAGTCTACTTTGGCTATAGTCTTTGCTTTAGCTTCTTTGGTCATTGTCTTTGATTTAGTCTTCTTTGGTCATTGTCTGTGATTTAGTCTTCTTTGGTCATTGTCTTTGATTTAGTCTTCTTGGGTCACTGTCTTTGATTTAGTCTTCTTTGGTCATTGTCTTTGATTTAGTCTTCTTTGGTCATTGTTTTTGATTTATTCTTCTTTGGTCATTGCTTTGATTTAGTCTTCTTTGGTCATTGTCTTTGATTTAGTCTTCCTCGGTCATTGTCTGCGATTTAGTCTTCTTTGGTCATTGTCTTTGATTTAGTCTTCTTTGGTCATTGTCTTTGATTTAGTCTTCTTTGGTCATTGCTTTGATTTAGTCTTCTTTGGTCATCGTCTTTGATTTAGTCTTTTTTGGTCATTGTCCTTGATTTAGTCTTCTTTGGTCATTGTCTGTGATTTAGTCTTCTCTGGTCATTGTCTTTGATTTAGTCTTCTCTGGTCATTGTCTTTGAATAAGTCTTCTTTGGCTATAGACGGATCCCTGTCTCACTGAAAGCAAAACACTAGACTAGACAATTCTGCTGTATTTTCCTTGCATACATTAGCCTTCCCGTAGTAACTTTGTTTTGGATTAACCTAAAGCGACTGTTTAAGATAAAACCGTTCACCAAATAGTCCTGTTGGTTAGAGCGGCAGTATGATTATCGTATCCTGAGATCCTCCCGAATTCTAATTCTGAACACTGTTGTTGATTTGTTTATCTACACTTTCAAGTTTCTGCAAGGTTTGGTAATTTTTTCAGAAAGTGTTTTCTACCAAAGCTGTGAAAAATATCCTATGTGAAGATACAAGTTTTGACTATGGAACCAATCATTTAACCAATTAACTAAGTAGCAATTCGTCATGCGAGTACATGTGAATGTTTAAGCGTTGCCTGCACTGTATGATATGTTTCATGTATTTCGTTCTTGTTGCAGAGACCGAATCCGTACAACAAGCAATTTAGTGAGCCACACCCACTGCGTTGTGGTGACATACCATTTCTGTAAGAACGCCCTGGAAAAGTTCGATATATCGGAAAAGAAAAGTAATCAGGAAAAACAGGCAGCCATAGACGTAGTGATCGATGACAATATACACCATTTGAATTAAATACCTCGGCAGTAATAAACAGGCGAAAGAATATCCAAAGTTTCCAATAATGTGTTTGCTTTAGCGCTGTTGCTATTAGCAAAATATCATTTATGATGCAGTGGTCCCAAAGAACAGATGATTAGAGTTGTATCCAGAATTGTACAAATGAAGATGTCTTTTATTATTTTGTCAGGTCTATAATTCAGCTTTCTTACACAATCCATACAGAACCTTATTTTTTATCATAGCACAAACAATGTGTGTAAAGATAAATATAAACAGTTTTTCTTATGAAATCATACATCTAACGTCCCGATGTTACGACATCGTGGCTATTGTTGTATTATTCTGGCGTTACCATGCATAGTATCCCGAGATTTTACGCATACAATATACCACTACTTCGCATGGTGATCAAATGCGTATAGTATACTAAGCTATTTCATAGAGTTAATAGAATATGACACTTGTTCTAAAGTATAGTCCCATGTAGTTTCTACAATGTGGGTTTTAAAAGAAATTTAATTCTAACTAAAAGTCGATTCAACAAGGTCTAGATATGAACATTCCGATATATTCAAAGTACATTCATAGATGGCGAACGCACAACTCCGGAGACCATGCTGGTTATTGCATTACTAACTTTATTAGTGAAGAGTTACTTCCGGTGTTCCGGTTGGGTACATACTAAAGGACTGATTATATCAGATGGACATTACAAAGACCATTGGAAAAGTGCGACGAAAATACGACCATATGTTCCGGAAGGGTAAACATATTTTGCTCTATCAATTATCAACAATATCCGGCATGTAAATGAAGGACCACATCTACGTAAGTCACGTCCTCAAAATGAAAACAAGGGAACTAAAAACGATGCAAGGCACCATCGACAATCATATCATATTGGAGGCTCGGTGGTCTAGTGGTAGGACGTTGGGCTTTTGACCTAAGTGTTGCGGGTTCTAGTTACGGTACGGCACTGTGTTGTATCTTTGAGCAAGATCCGTTCCTCCGCTTGGTCCAGTCTACACAGCTGTAGATGTGGTTGGGCAGTGCTTGAATTGTAGAATGCTAGCTGTGAGCGCCGAAATGGCAGCACCGGTTGTTGAAAAGGTATTGGCTGGTTTCAAAGGCCTTATAACCACGGACAATAATGTGTGAACCGGTTTGAGACGACCTAGGCTCTACGTTGTGATAAATTAGCGGTATATAAAAAAACTCGACTTATTATTATTATTAATTATTATATATCATTCAAAGAAAAAACAGAATTCCTTGTTAGACCACAAACACTAACCCATAGTCTTTATCAACCCAACGCAAATTAGCTTACAGAATTACCGTACATGGATGTGTGTGTCCAGACGGCATTTGTGGAATGCTTTTGCTGGTGTGAACATTACAAAAGTGTCGTTAAATCATTATATGTTAAAGCTCTGTTCATTCACGCATATTGAACTAAACCTACCCATATCTTATTGCTACTCTCTCGGGACTAGATATCAACCAATTATAAATACATACTCGAATCATTTAAGGTACCAACTACAACTTTTTTTAATTTAATATCATGCATTGAATTCTAAGCAACTTTCTTTAATCACAACTACTATCATATTATTATATACTATATATACAGCGAATAAGCATTACAGAAGATATCATTCTGCTTATAAATTAGCAACTTTACTCAAAATCAATATGGTTTTTTTTTAAGTCATAAAGGTTTTTAATTGGAAAATCTTGAATCTCCAGCAATATGTAATATAATCTTTGTCAAAACTTTTTCCTTTTTCAAATGTTATCGTGAACATATTAAACGTCAATGATGTCTTCTTATCGTTCTATTATATTGCGTGATAAGAAACGCCTGGTCCTACATATGTTGGTTAACGTCAACACGTCAAATAGGAAACTATTGAATGAATATATATTCTATGTCTAAAACTGGCAAAAGCAAATTAAAAATCCATTTTTACACGTTTGGCTTAAACTTATAAATAATCATCAATATTACACAGGCAATTTTCCAAATCGTGATTGTGTTTTAAGCATGGTTGAAGAATATGGAAGGCCATCAGGTTCATCATTGGGGCGATCCCCGCACCAAGTAAAGCTGATGTGTTTGAAAGATCTTGAGAACCTAAATGTATTTTTCCATGATGGTAAATACAGATTTTATACAGTTTCATATAGCACAATTATGTTTTTTATCCATGACTAGTTCGATTATATGCTATGTCACATTCAAAATTTGTCAAAACAATAATTTATTGATTTAAAAAGTCAATACAACATGTTCACATTTGATGAAATAGTTTTGAAATAATACCAATACACTAGCTTATGAGGGAAAGTTTAAAAAATATTAAACATAATCCAATTAAATGAAGTAAAGGGTTTTTAACCAATCAAATTTAGGTTTACTACACGACACAGGTATATATGATTGTGTTCTTGTGAAAATAAGGCCAATACTGTTTTTTGAGAGGTTATATCCGGATATCACTGGATTTGACTCCGGATCCAGTTTTGGAAATGTATTTGGAAGTCTTCAAATGTTATGTGGTGTCACCTCTGTTCCTGTACTTTTGTAGTCATATCTGGTTCCCAGTTTGTTCTCGTGATGCTCACTTATATCATTAGACATTCTCCTGCCCATGTCTGACGCGTAACAAGCATACACAGGGTCACGAAAACATTGACACAATAATATTACAATAATACAATGCCCGGCTGTAGTAATATCGTGCTTTTAGTAATGCGTGATTGCAGTAATGTCTGACTGATGCTGGGTGTCAGTAGTGCCCGGCTGTAGTAAAATATGGCTGTTAGTGATGCTGTGTGTCAGTATTGCCCGGCTGTAGTAACGTCTGGCTGTCAGTGATGTCGGGTGAAAGCAAATTGCAATGCCCGGCTGAAGTAAAGTCTTGCTTTAAGTAATGCCTGATTGTAGAAATGTCTGACTGTTAGTGATGCTGGGTGTCAGTAGTGCCCGGCTGTAGTTAAATCTGGGTGTTAGTAATAATAAATAAATTCTTTTATTTAGACAGGGTAACATATTTAGATTTTCATCTAGTTTACAATATGGCCCTGTAAAACACATTATATATACATACATAAAACAACAGCACATCACGCATACAGAGACATATGACATACAATAAAATAGAAAAAGTAGTTAAATAATACAATACATTATTAAGACAACTTATTGTATTGTATCACTAAATATCTAAATTGCATTTAGAACATTAGAAAATATTACAGCATATTACAAGTCAATACATACATATATTTATCACAGGGTGATATAAGGATTACCTCAGGAAATTATAATAAACAGAATCATAGGGATAATTTCAAATATTGTACTTTAAAATATACATATAGTATATACCATATAATACTCGGTTTCCAAGTGATTGGGAATCCCCTACCTACTAGGTCCGCCGGTAACACATGATATTCATGATCTAGTATTTTTAAAATAATTGGCAAGATATGCCTTTTTAAAAGCCATAACATTTGTTGTAGTTCGTATGGTTTCTTCCAAAGTATTCCATAAAATAGTACAAGTGTATCTAAAAGAATTTTTGTAAAAACTTGTTCTACACTTGGGGATATAGAGCTGATTCATTGCAGAAGACCTTGTGGTTCTTGTGGAAATCTGGGTTAGATAGGTAAATAAATTTTGTTTTGAAAATCCTGGAGCCTGGTCGTTAAGGATTTTATAAGTAAGAACACATTTTCTAAAAGTGTAAAAATCGTGAATAGGCATCCAGTTTAAAGTCTTTAAAAGTAACGATGTTGGTGTACGAATTTCTCTTATATTTAAAATTACTCTTGCTGCTCTCTTTTGAAGTTTAAATATTCTTTCCTTAAGGGACACATTTGTAGCGTTGCTCCATACTGAAGAACAATACATAAAATGAGGTAAAACAATAGTCGTATACACCATTTTGGACATTTCTTGGGACATGATCTTTCTGATTCGTTTTAACACTCCAATTTTCTTTGATAATTTCTTACATACATAATCAATATGTACATTCCATGATAAACAGCTGTCAATAAAAACTCCCAGCAGTTTGGCATTGTGTACAGTTTCAATAATTATATCACCCACTTTGACACGCATCTGTCTGTGTTTTGATAATTTTTGTGATGAGCCAATCAGCATGCATTGGGTTTTTGTTAGATTTACACTCATTGTATTATTGGTCATCCACTCACTTGCTAATTCAAGGTCAACTTTTAATTTTTCTTCGACATCATCAACTGCATCACCTTTTACACCCTGTGATGTGTCGTCAGCGTACATTACAACTGATGAATGTTTCAAATATGTTGGATAGTCATTCATATGCAAGATAATAAATAGTGTATATAAAATATACATTCGGTAAACTTGAGTCAAATTTACGTCCAATTTCAACACCAATGTTACAATAATAATCGTTAAATGCATTTGCGATATCGATTGTTTCTGTAACATTTTCTCCATTTACATTTAGACATGGGGCGTTGCATGCTTTAGAGGACGGTTAAAATTCTTTTATTTTCTTCCATATATCTTTGGAGTTTTTAGAACATTGTAACATCGCTTCATCCAAGTAGTTACGTTTAGTTTGTTTTGTTTTTGGTCACGACCCTGTTTCGGGCTGCCTTGTACAAGTCCCAGTCCGTATCTAACTTGGATTTTCTTGCTTGTTCATGTAAATTGTCACGTGTGTGCATTTTACTTACTACATCATCATTAATCCATTTTTCGGATTTTGCACTGACACGTTTTTCTGTTAGTAGTATTTTTTTGTCGGCAACACCATAAAACAACTCTTTAAAAGAGTGCCATGAATCGTCAATGCAGTCAAACACCTCGATAACAGACCATGGCACCTGTGCCATGTGTGCTTTAAATTCGTAGACATTAATTTTCTTAAAACTTCTATATTTAATGTTAATATGATCACTTTTGGTATGAGCAAAGTTTACTTTTCTTACAGCATACACTAAGTGATGATCGTGTATTCCTAACGGGATAACGCCGGCCTCTCTGCAGGAAAACGAGTCCGAGGTATATATATGGTCGATTAATGTTTCTGAGGTTGTTGTCTCCCTGGTCGGAGATGTAATGTTCTGATGTAAACTTTACACATTCATTTGGGTTTTAAGCATGTTGGTTTTCAGTTCGTCTATATTAAAATCACCCATGACAATTAATGGTTGGTCAGGTGCTGAAACATTTTCTATGATCTGGTCAAATTGAGGGAACCAGTCAACTTTTTCACTGGGAGGCCTGTATACTGAAACACATCGTATACTTGACGAGTTCGTTTGATTTATTTTTAAAACCAAAACCTCCATTCCGTCCACGATAGACGAGCTCTCATCCACAACGGTCAGTGAGTCCTCTACATAAACAATAACTCCGCCGCCATGTTTATTTCGATATCTACGGTACGCCGAGTATCCATGTACGGAAATATCCTGTAGATCCGTAGAACTATCAAGTTTACTTTCAGTTAATGCCAATACATGAAATTTTCTTTTTCTAAAAAGTATCTTGATTTGGTCAAGTTTATTTGATAGACCGCATGTATTTAAGTGGGCAAATTTCATCCTCTTTGGAAGATTTTCGATATACTTATCCGAGGAAACATGAAAGTCATAATTCCTGGAGAAATTTTCGACACATTTGTTACAAATCCATTCTAAGACTGTATTGATTTCAATACTATCAGCAGTGTTCAAACAGCTACTGTGGTATACCGTTGTGCACCCAATACAGGTAAATGCTGACTCGGTTGATTGCACATTCATTTCACATAGGCAACAGTCTACAGTGCACGTGGTCACCCCAGGTCCAGGATTCATACTCACGTCGTTTGACATAACGATATACAGTAGACACAGAAAACGAATAGTGTTCACACTCCTACCTGTGTGCTTCTGTCATTTAGGGAATTCCATTCAAAAATGTTCTTCGTACTATTTCGGTACCATAGCACTTTATCACTTTGTCCAGAATCGGGAAATATTTGTCTGGTGACATATTAGTGATGTCTGCTAGTTCATACTGGTATAATTCACTTTAAAGTGATGATGTGTGTCAGTAGTGCCCGGCTGTAGTCAAATCTGGCTGTCAGTGATGTTGGGTATAAACAATGCCCGGCTGTAGTAATGTCTTGCTATTAGTGATGCCCGGCTGTAGTAATGTATGGCTGGTAGCGATGCTGGGTGTCAGTAGTGCCCGACTGTAGCATTGTCTGGCTGTTAATGATGCCAGGCTGTAGTAATGTCTGGCAGTTAGTGATGCCAGACTGTTAGTGATGTTCGGCTGTAGTAAAGTCTGTCTGACAGTGATGCCTGTCTGTAGTATTGTCTGGCTGTTGGTGATGTCAAGCTGTAGTATTGTCTGGCTGTTAGTGTTGTCCAGCTGTAGTATTGTCTGGATGTGAGCGATATTCAGCTGTTAGTGATGACCGGCTGTAGTAAAGCCGGACTGACATTGATACCCAGCTGTAAATTTAGTATTGTCTGGCTGTTAGTGATGCCCAGCTGTACTATTGTCTGTCTGTGAGCTATACCCAGCTGCTAGTGATGTTCGGCTGTAATAAAGTCTGACTGTCAGTGTAGCCCGACTATAGTATCGTCTAGCTGCCAGTGATGCCCGGCTTTAGGAATGTCTGGCGTCTAGCGATGACCGGCTGTAGCAATGTCTTGTTGTCAGTGATTCCTGACTCTAGTAATGTCTGGCTGTCAGTGATGCCCGACATTAGTATTGTCTAGCTGTCAGTGATACATGACTATAGTATTGTCTAGCTGTCAGTGATGCCGGACAAAAGTATTGTCTTGCTGTCAGTGATGCCCGACAATAGTATTGTCTGACTGTCAGGGATGCCCGACTATAGTATTGTCTAGCTGTCAGTGATGCCCGACTATAGCAATGTCAGGCTGCCAGTGATGCCCGGCTTTAGGAATGTCTGATTGTAAGTGATGCCCGACTATAGTGTCTAGCTGTCAGTGATGCCCGACAAAAGTAATGTCTGGCTGTCAATGATGCCCGACAATAGTATTGTCTAGCTGTCAGTGATGCCCGACAATAGCATTGTCTGGCTGCCAGTGATGCCCGGCTTCAGGAATGTCTGACTGTTAGTGATGCTCGACTATAGTATTGTCTAGCTGCCAGTGATGCCCGGCTTTAGGAATGTCTGACTGTTAGTGATGCCCGACTATAGTATTGTCTAGCTGCCAGTGATGCCCGGATGTCAGTGATGCCCGAGTGTTATATTTTCTGCCTGTCAGTGATACCCGACTATAGTATTGTCTAGCTGCCAGTGATGCCCAGCTGTGGAATTGTCTTGCTGTCAGTGATGCCCGCTGGTAATAATGGTAGGCTGCCAGTGATGCCCACTGGTAATAATGGTAGGATGCCAGTGTTGCCCGATGCATTAATATGCGACTTTATTTTTTTCGGACGCAGCTCTGTCCGGCTATCACTAAAATACATACCTGTGCAATTTACCTGGTTGCCAGACATACCTCAGGTAGATGATAACCGATATTTAAAAGAATAAATAGTTGATGTATAAATGAAATGTATCAATGTAATCTAAATATTTCAGTGACACAGAACATTTGAATTCTGGTCCTTAGCATGCTCGTGTGTGTGCATTGGTGCTAAGTGCTAATCAAGGGAGATGATGTAAGATGTTTTTACCGCTTACAACTTAAAATTAACATTCTTCGAAATATGTAAACGTCAATCTAAAACAATTAAGTTTAGTTAACACATGAAGATAACTACTTTTAACTTACAAGTAACAAGTAATATACAATGAAAATTTAAAAAAAAACATCGGCATTCACGCTTACACTGTGCAACATACAAGTTACTTGGAATGAAATACTTAAAAGTCGGTCTATTATATACCTAACACCAATTATTCTTGTTTTTGATAAGCGTTGATGTTTGTAATACCTTTTGAGTACATTGGCGCAGGAATTTTCAGTGGTTCGTTTAAGTTAAACAGTTTTAATTAACCGCGTGTTACATAAATAAACAAAATAGTAAACTTGAACTATTTTGACCCCTTCACAATAGATCTTTTTAGTTCTGGTTCAGGTTTTAAAGATTTTTTATTAATATTAGGAGGAAATTAATATGTGCAGGTAGCGCAGAAAATTTAAATGAACCGTCAGCTCCTGAATTTATAGGATCCTCATACATGTATAAAGATACAGTAAACGTTCATTTTTAGCGTAGTATCATTTTAGCCCTTTTTTACCTTAATTATAGCGATAAGCTATTATTACGCCATTTGAACTTCCTGTATATTGTCATATTGTACTATGTTTAAGTACATTTATTCATCATTGCGGAATTTTATTTTATTTCAAACTCATAAATGCGCTTAAATAAGTACTTTTACAGAAAATAGTCAGAGCTCTTAAAGATTGTTGCATCTTGTGATATACACCAAAATATCTTTCATAGCGTTATAAAATGGTGTTCTATTTTGACAACTAGCACGACTGTTGTACATTTTTGTTGTCGTCTTCTATATCTTGTAACACGTCCGACTGTTCCAGCGACTTCTTACAGAAATGATAAGTTACAACTACACAATGTGTATGGCTTACAAGATTACTTGACGATCGGATCCGATCCCTACAACAAATAAAAAAAAAAACATATCAGCATTTACGAATACACTACGCATGCACTTGTATGACTTATCCGTCGATTAAGTATAGATGGTTTTTATCACAAATAAATATTGAATATCCCGTCTGCATTTTTCACAATTGAACAATAATAAGGCTTCAAATTAGATAGATGTGTTCGGTTAAACGTTCTATCGGATATATCATATCGACTTATGATACTTACAAATACCACTCAACCGCAAACAGCAAAGAAATAGAATCGGCTGGTATGTTCATGGATGTCAGGATCATCACCAAGGCAACAAGACTAGCACTGGGAACGGGAGGTAACGCCATAACGCAAACGGCGGTTAAAATGCTAAAATAAAAAAATAAAAAATTTGATCAAAATTGTTACTTGAACAATTTTAGGGATAATTAGAAGTATATGTAATATTTACTCCCTCCTACACACGGTTCAAATTGGAGGCGGCGCTGACAATGTGCTTCATTTTGGTCAGTGTCTGCCAAAATCGCTATTTTAGAATCCCTGCCCCACTGACTGTGTCATACTTTGGGTTTTTCTGTGAGCAGTAACCTCCCTTTAACTGCTGTATGCAAAACTGTAGATAACATATTTTTAGGTGTTTTTAAAGCTGAATTATCGACTTCATGCCGGAACAGTTCCCAACACTTACTTACAAAGGCGGTGGTACAGGGATCTTAAATTTGATGCAACTCTCCGAATTTTTAATCAATGAACATATGAAATGAAAAAAGATCTATAAAATAATTTGCCAATGGACTTGAATGAGATATAGAATTAAAACAGGGTATGTATCACAAGTAAGTTCACAAGTCAGTTAGACAAGTATAACACATCCATTATGTGTTTTACTGTATAAATACATCAGCATTTTATAAATAAATATACAACATTTGATATAGCGCCCTATCTAGCTATCGGATAAGCTACTCTAAAGCGCTTTACGGTACATAGATATACAATTAATACAATTAGCATATACATTAATCAATACAATTTCGAGGAATTCTCAGGAGCTGCCTTATCAGGCACTAACTACTAGTCCTATGCCACCTGGCTAATATCTCCCTATGTGCGTATGGCTGCGTGTGTGCTTGAGATGTAATGTGTATAGCTGTAACAGGTTGGTATTTTAAACGACGATAAAATGTAGAAGTTGGTTTAAGAGCCCTTAATGTTTGTGATTTACTGGTATGTATTTACTTAATCATCTTTACGTATTTTTGCAATTACGGATTATTTACTTAATTATTATGTATGTGAGGCAGATATACTGGAAATGTATTAATGTTTAATTATTATAGACGTTAGTGGAAGAACCCCGCTTTGATTAACTTGTACCTAGGTTGGTATGTACGGATTGTGATTTGTGTAAACGATACAGTAACATCAACGGGCAATTCAATTGGAAAACATTTACTCACGACATAGGCATTTGAAGGAATAAGATAAGTTTGCATTTGAAACAAAAATATATTCAAATTAAAGTATTTTATCAAACTGTTCACAAAGAAGTTCCATTTCTTATCTAAGCAGTGCGTTCAATAGTTTAATAAAATTTTGATCAGACCATTGTCAAATTATTTTATATTCTACCACGTCTGTGGTGTAACGACGGTTTTCATTGGTTAAAAAGAGTGCATTATTTAGCGATATACCATGCGCGTACCGATAACCAATGCACGTGAAATAGTGCGCACGCATGCTGTTCCAACAACCTCCCCAATGATCAAGTTAAAACGAGGCAACACGATCACGTGATAAATCTTGCACGCGCAAGATTTACAGGGTCTAATTTGCATATCGAATTATCTAGGTCATGTCGCCTTATAAGACAGCAAAACTTTACAATTAGTTGCATTTGACGTGGTAGAATAAAAATAATCGACTTATGTGCGTGCATTATGGTGGAATATATAACGCGGGATTCGAAAAAGTTGGAAAAATAATTAACTCAGGCCGACATGTTCTCACCATCGTTAAATATTCCACCTTAATGCACGTACATATGTTGATTATTTCTTAAATATAGCAACGCAGTTAAAGGTTTGATATCAACAGAGGGGAGTTTTTTATGATTTATTTAATGTTTCGACCTTAATAAATGTAAATAAATATATAATCTTCACAAAATGTCTCACCCTATCAGAATAATGTCGCCAACATTAAGGTCGATTCCAGCCACAGTGCCTACAAAAATGGCAGCTGATGTTATAAACATGGCACTTCCGTTAGCATTGAGTGCAACACACAGTGGAACGACAAAACGACTGACCCTTCTGTCGACGTTCTGGTGATTTTCGCACGCGGACAGCATCTCTGGAATAGCCATGGCCCTGGAATGTAATACATTAGTCCGCTAAACCTGACCATGAACGCAAACTCCAAAATACTGATCGATCGCCTGCTAATGGTCAACTAGTGATTGTTCCATAAAAAAAATGGAATTTGTTGCCGAAATCTGGCAAGATGGATGTCGATGTAGGCAATCATGATCAATTGACAGCACCGCAATGGAATAGAATGATTCAGCATTTATAGTGTCGAGTTGAAACATGATATCTAGGAAAGTGAGTGAGAAATGAATTAACTGATATATAGGTATAAATATAACAAAACATGTACAAATCTAACAATCGCTATCGCCAGATTTCGACGACAAATCCCCGTGTTTTGTAGAGCAGTCGATAGCTTGACTATCAACAGGCGACCGATCAGAATTTTGAAGCCTGCTATTATAGCCAGTTCTGCCGGACTAGTAAGTAATACTTATGCTTAATGTAACACCTGTGTACAACAGTTAACTAGATCTTTAAAAACAATGTCTTTTATAGATACTTTTTTTGTCATGATTAGGAAAATGTGAAGCAAACAAAAATCATCACATAAGTTTGTTTTGAACAAAAGAAAAAAAAAAAAAAATGAGCTTTCGAAAACGTATGTTTAGTTTGCAAGCAACGATTGTAAATAACTGGTGTCTCAACTCTAAACCCATTTTAACATCCATTAAGGGGCGAAATGGTCAAACATGTGTCCCGTTCCCCTGAATGCCTGTAGTATTAGAGTACAATTTGGCGAAATTTCTCTGTGATTTTTGACAACTGACATTACTTGATGCAGCTCTTGGAGGCTTAGTGAATTTTTTCCAGCAGTTTAGAGCAAAGACACCAGTAATTTGCACTCTATACTTGACACGGGAAACAGACGTTTACGAAAGCCCGCAAAATAAGTTTTCAATTGCTGTTTGTGGTAAACAAACTTCAAACAAACAGAAGTCTTTATTACTTATAACAAACTGATGAATCTTATTCCGGATTCTGATATATTCTTATTTTTTTTCTTTTCATATATATTTGTAAAACAGCAATGAAAAATAAATGCCCTACACCCCAAAAAAAACAAATATCTCACAAAAAAATAGTCAATATTAAAAGAATTTAAATCTTTTTATCATGTTTCAATTTCATAAACTTCTACAATATTTATATAAGAGATGATGATTGCAAATATTTTTCTTTCATACACCAATGTTTTCTTACTTGTTCGAGGCACAGTAGAATGACAAACCGACTGACCTCTCTGACCCAGATGAACAAAAAGTTAACATTGAATACGTTTAATGTTCAATATACTTATTTAACTGTTATTTTTTTAATTCATGTAAAGGTTAAATTTAAAATTTCTAGGAAATACCAGTCTTACTTTCTTAAAGTAACTAAATTTGTATTAAGCCTTATTCATTCTTTCTAATACGTTACTTTGTACTATTCCTATTAGTATTCATGATGATGTTAGCACTGATAATTTCAGTATATGACAACACAGTAGCGACTGTTCCGGAAGCGTACTTTTATGAAGATTGCATAACGCAGTTAACTCCCCTGATATTAAAGGTAACAATTTACTATATAAATATCTATTGAAACTCCTTTTTAAAAAACAAAGCGAAGTGAATGTTACGCTTGCATTTGATTTAGTTTGTTCGTGTTTTACGGTCTATTAAGAGCTATAGTGATTTAAGGACGTGCCAGATTTTTTTGGTGAGGAAAACCGGAGTACCCGGAGAAAAAGAACCGACCTGCGACCGGTACATGGCAACCGCACCACGTAGGCCTCGGACCCGCGACCATGAGCATGACCATGACCAGAGAGCTTCTGATCGTAAATGATCAGACGCTTAATCACTTGGCCACCGCGGCCCCATTACGCTTGAGTAAATGAGAGAATAAATGTGAAAAAATAGATAAATGAAGGAATAATTAATGAAAATAGAGGAAAGAATGAAAGAAATAACCGCAAATGAAATGTAAGAAGAATGAATTCCCTCCTGTGAGTGGGAATAGATTTTTAGAGGGCTGAATTCAGGGTTCAAATCCTTGCGTTGATAATTGAAGATGGAAAATATAACATTTTAAACATGAAGAAAAAACGGATACATGTATTAGTATATGCACAGAGTGCTTTGACTTACGTGCTTGTTGTTGCAAACACCATCATCCAGGCTTTACTGATTTGCACAGCAAATCTATAAGGATTTCGTCGGGTGAACACAAAAAATATTGTCGGCATTATAATTAATTGATGCATACTGATCCCCACAGTCATCAAGCCCACATACATTCCCAAAGCTCGAAAATCCTGGCCAAGGTCCTTTATGGTAGCTGTAGTAACAGCAATCAGGCTTAGGATACCAACAGGCGTTAACCTGTAGCAAAAGAAAATGAGTTTTATCGATGGTAAATATAACACCCTATCTAATGAAGCAAATTTAAGATTCGTATTTATTATGGTGGGAATCTGACAAGCTTTATGAAAAAATAATTATTGGTTTCATGCATCTTATAAGAAGTGGAAACGAATTTATGATCAGTTTTATCACATTATAAACAAATTTTGCAAATATTGGTAAAAGACGTTTTCGATATAATTCTTTAAATCCATATGATATATGAACAAAAACAAACTAATTCCATACAGTACTTTTTTGTTTCTCATGTATAACGTTATACATGTATATGATATTACAATGTACCTTAGCAACCATTGTAGTATTATCATTATGACGCCTGTCAGCGATTCAAAGAAGTCTAGTACTGGCTTTCCCTTCCCTTCTGCCTTGTTTATGGCTATCCCCAGCAGCAAACATGTCATAATGATACCTAGATAGAGGGAATAAAACGCATTATTGTATAATAACATCATTATACCAAAATGTTTAAAAAGGAATATGATATTCTAGGTAACCAGTTGGTGTTTCGCAACTTTAATCAATCATACTTGTTTGCCCCGATGGAAGTGATATGGGTGTGTTTTACAAGAATTAACATAAAGCAATATGCATTTCTTATGAGTTTACGTACCGAGTAAATTGGTGCCCGATGTTTTCCCTACAATTTTGTTAATTTTTCTGACAGTCTCCTCGACAGTTCCGTTTGTTGTATTCCTCAAGTAAGTTCCATTAGTGACGTGGTTTCGAGTCAGTGTTTGTTGAAACATCATATCCACAATATTATCTGGCATTATGTTACTGAAGTCACAAAAAGTAGAGCTCCATTTAGAATTACGTTTTTGCTTGAAATATTCTCCTTTCTCTATAGAAGTCGAAACCTCTAAAAGGACTTTTTTGGTTAAGAGTAATGTTCCCTGTTAGACATTTTTCAAAAGCTTTGCAGCTCATGAATTCGATAATTATTTTGACGTTATGTTTTCATAGTTTCTGTACGACCACACTGATAAAGTGGAGGTTTGCCAATGTAAGGTCCCAAATTCGATCCATGTAGTATTATATATATTTGTTTATTGATATTTCTATTTTCAGATATTGAAATATCTTATAAACTTCAGTGTAAAATGCATGACAACATGCATTTTTTACATATAAATTTTGAAAACTTTCAAAAGGACTTCACAATAGTGACAACGGGGAAATATAGATTAACGTGATGGTAGCCGTTACCTTAATTAATTGACAATAGATATAGAAAAACGCAAATCATTCAACAAGATTGTAAGCTTATTTATTTTATAATGTTACTGTTACTTGTATGACCAACTTAATTATTTGTAATTGATTTTAACGTGAATCATTACCCAACAGTCCCAAAACTGACTACATATTCGCAAATAATTCGTCGTTATTTACTATAAGATACTAGGTAAACTCGTGTCTTTCTACAATTCGAAAAAATAACTGTCGCAAGTTAGATTTACATTATAACTAAATATCACACGACGGAGAACTTCTATGTATCTTTGAAAAACAATATAAGTAACACATTAACATTATAGTTTTCCAAAATTTACCGGAATAAATCTGCAAACACGTCTGCTGTTTCCATACCACCTCTATATCCCGTCTGTGTTATTTCTGTGCGGACTCCGTCTCCTTTAAAACATTTAAACACAAAATAAAGCATATCATGGTGATAAGTGAAATAACATCGTGAGAAAAGGACTATTTTTGAAACAATAATGTGACAATGGGAGTTAAATAATAATATGAAACGAAATTGTTTTAAGTAAATTTCAAAAATGGCTTGTGATGTTCGAATACAAATTGAATATAGGATTAAAGAAATAACAAGAGTAAAAAATATTTTATTTTACATATGGAGGATATTAAATGTTTCCCATTGAATACCATATATATTTCACGAGTACGGCTTTTAAGAATCTTTTCAAGAGTGCCAAGCACGACCAGAAACAGCCGTATATTCTTCAAAATAAAATAATCTTGTACGCCATAGTCTAACGACTTCACTCTTGGCAACAAGTCGTCAATGGCCTACTCAGCGGCATTCTATCGTTTCCTGTCATGATCTGATGGATTTTTTTTTACAAAAAGGTGTTGTCAATTCCGTAGTTATGTTATAAACTTAAAGAATGTGTCAAAGATGTTCCAAAGCAACCACCTTTCTTTAGACGCTCTAATTGCAGCTGAATGGAAAATGTACAGCTTTGAATGCAGTGAATAGTAAGAATCGTTCTGATTGGTCGATATAGAATTGATACAGGTCATTATAGAATAGTTAATACATGTTTAATCAACAGTATTTTACTCTATGTAAATAAGGGAGCATCATTTATAATTGTGAATTCACAATAAGTTCAATTGATACGTCGCTAGAAATATTACAATTGACACTGGCCTAAGAAATATGCTAAGTGTCATTTACATCGGCTTAAGATTTTCTAACGTAACAAAAATTGTTAAAAGTTCTGTTCATTTCAGGAGAAGATTTCTTTATAACAAGAACGTCTCGACTCATATCTAAAAAATCTTACGGAAAGACCATAATAAAGATCTTCTATAAAGTATAAAATCTTAAGGAACGGTTTTCTAATAAAACACAATATATTAATCAGATAACAAGATATTTTTTAACAATAAAGTAACCGAGTTCACATCTGAATATCAATGATCACTAATCATTGATATATATAAACTACCTGGTTTCATGATGAGAACAAGAGCGATGGCGACGACACACGAAAGGCTATTCGTGAGGACGATGAAGGTGATGGACACGATACTTATCCGTCCATTTGACTTGGCGTTCAGAGAGGCTGTAGCTGTAACATAACGGCAATTCGACATTAAAGCGATAGCTTCCTTTTTTCAATGCTTCTTATATTATCTGAATGATTAACGTAAGACACCCACCTGTGATTGCACTTATAAATTCTGGTTATAGATAAAGTATGCCAAAACAAATAAGATTTCACTATACAGCAGCCTGGGCCCGTATTCATGAAACCGTTATCATGCTCAATCATGGATTCTGTGCTCAAAACAGCTTTCTTGTAACTCGTTTAAATCATGTCAAACGAACAAAAACTCAATTGTAAACATTGAAAACAGTAATCGGCTTGAAGTATCTTCACATTCTTTTCCAAATCCTTGACATAACAAGATTTTGGTGAGTAATTTATAAGGGTAACAAGAAATTAGGCTTGAGCACAAAATCCATGCCTGAGCATGAGAACAGTTTCATGAATACGGGCCCAGGTCCAGCTTTGACTCATTGGTCATGTTAAGGCCAAACACAAGATGGAATATAGCCAATTACATTGTGTTGAAATCATCGATCAATGTGTTTCAAAGGTGAGACAAAACTTGTAAAACTTCGAAATCCTCCACTTCAAATTGCATATAATTGAGATATATAGATAAAATGAATATGCAATGTGTTCATATTTAGAATCCAGAATCATGTATAGAATCCAGCTAGTAACATTTTGTTGAAATTATCGATCAATGTGTTGCGGAGGTGAGCCAAACTCACAAAACTTCGAAAGTCTCCACTTCAAATTGCAAATACTTTAGATGTATAGATCAAATGAAGATGCAATGTGTTCATATTTCTTTTACTGTCGGCGAGTATTCCCCTAATCCGCTAAACAATTCATATTACTCCATTCAATCAAGTGAGTTAAAAACTACACCATTTTTTTTATCAGGTCCCTTTGATAAATATATGTGATATCTGTAAGTCATCTGATTTTCTGTTGTCAATAAACTCACCTGTAATTACGCTACTGACAATAAAAGGTATGACCATCAACTTCAGCATCCTGAGAAACAGTTCCCCTGGCATACCTGAAATTACAGACCATATACATGAAAGTATCTTTTTCATTACGATCAATACAATTAATAATACAAATGCTTGAATATTTGTTATTTCATATGCACTTTTCACGTCGCTGCATGATATACATCTACCAGTAATGCTTATTCCACCACGTGTTTTTCCTTTATTGATTTATTTTCACATTGAGATGATTTTCTCCGATCCTTCACAGCTGTGTCTCCCGTTTTAGCCGGGAAAGATCAGCTTGTCACCCCCTTGGGGGAGATAGCCGCGTGCCGATTAGCACGTGTTCAATTGTGACGTCATAAAAATGCGTCATCGGTAATGATCATAATGAATGACGATATGCACACCCCACATGTGTCTTTGTTTACAAACATAGCAGACTACTGTCGATGGAGCTGTGACTGAAGTAATGGATGGGAGAAAAAAACATCATCCCCTATCTTGAGGGTGTAACAGAAATCTCAAACCTTCGGGGGGATTTTTTTAAGTGTCTAATCCTCGGCAGAGCCTCAGGTTAGACAACCAAAAAGCATCCCCCCTCGGGTAGGAGATTTCTCTGTCGCACGCTCAAGGTAGGGGAAGATACCATTAATCTGCTTGCTTAATGTGTAATGGTGATTATAAGCCTTCTTTGTTTAACAATTATAAGTAATGCTATTATACATATGCTGTTAAGCTCTTTAGAGTATTTTACAAGTTATATAGTGCGCTATATAAATGTTGTATATTATTATTAAAGTTGATTTAACGAAATTTGTTATTGGTGAATAATTTAATTTTGTTTTCAGTACGATTTTTCATTGTGATATTAAGTGTGAGACCAAGAAAATAAAAACATATGTGTAAGGCCGTTGTACACAAGGGCAGTATTTTTTCACAGAAAGTAGTAATTTGTCACACAATCTGCAACCATGTCTTTTGAAAGTGGAAATTCTGTCATAATCGAAAGCAGAGAGACGGTGGCGAGAACCAAATTAACCGTTCACCATCATATTTATAGGGAACAATGTCGGCTAGTTGGTTCACTTTTCAAAGAAGGCTTATTATTCGGAAAGAATCGAAATATGTGGTAAGGATCAATTTTTGAGATTCACCAAAAACCTAATGGGCCAGAAAGGTGAAATTATCCTACTAAGCTGTAATTCTGAAGAAGACTTGTCGAACAAGTTCAGTGATTACTTTCTGAATAAAAATCAGATCGATCAGAAAAAAACATTGCCGAAGTGAACTCTACTGCTGAAAATGGTATCTCTTTCATGACTGCTGACATTGAATTTGAAGGGGAACCATTGACAAAGCTCTCACCAACAACCCAGGACGAGTTGCGCAATATCATCATGACCTCGCAATCGAAGTCCTGTGAGCTTGATCCACTCCCTACTGACATATTAAAACAATGTATTGAAGCACTACTTACTTTGACTACCTCAATGATAAACAAATCATTGGCTGAGTCAAAGGTTCCATTGTGTTTCAAGAAGGCACATGTTAGACCATTGTTGAAGAAGCCTGGAATGAACAATGAGTAGTTCTTGAACTACCTCCCAGTATCAAATCTGTCTTTTCTGTCTAAGATCTTAGAGATGTTGTGTCCCGGTGTTTAGAGGTTTATCTCCATGCATACAGTCTCGTTGACAACATGCAATCGACCTACCGCATGGGACACTCTACTGAGACGGCCTTATTACGTGTACATAATAACATAGCTTCTGCATTGGATACCAAGTGCAGAGCGGTGCTTGTCATGCTGGACTTGTCAGCTGCATTTGACGTCATCGACCATGGCATACTTTATAAATGTTTGAAGTACTCTTATGGAATGACTGATACCGCACTATGCTAGATACAGTCTTATCTGAGTGAACGACGATAATGAGGTGATATAATAATACCACCTCACATGACTAGATTTCGGGGTTCCTCAATGGTCGGTGTTAGGACCACGAAAATATTGCCTGTACTCTAAACCGATTGGAGAGTTTAGTCGTCACCAAATCCTTCGCTATCATTTATATGCTGATGACACACAAATGTACATGGTCATCAAACCAAAGGACAATTGAGATGCAATTTCAGAAAATCTAGAAACTTGTCAAATATCAGTACCTGGATGAACGCCAACATGCTAGCGCTTAATCAGAAAAAGACGGAACTAATAGTCTTTTCCCCAAAGTGTCAGCAAACAATGGCTCTCCAGCTGAAAGGTCGGTGCCAGAACTATTGAGACTGTCCCAGCTGTTAAAAGCCTAGAAGTATACTTTGATAGTTCACTGAACATGGAGAAACAAGTCAACGCTATTGCCAAATCATGTCACTACCAGATCAGGAACATCGACTGTATTCGTCAGTTCATAACTGCAGATGCATGCAAGATTTTGATTCATTCACTTATTACCTCTCGATTGGATTATGGTAACGCCCTGCTCTGTGGCACATGTATATCTGACAAATTAACTAGTTGCACTGGTTACCTGTACGATACAGGGCACAGCACAAACATTTGGTGTACACATATAAGGCACTGAATGGAACAGCTCCCCAGGTCTTACAGGAGCTTGTTACCCTGTATCAACCATCACGATCACTGCGGTCCGAGTCAGAATCATTGTTGTGTGTCCCAAAAGCTCGTATCGTGACCTTTGGAAACCGGTGCTTTGGGAGGGTTTCGGTTACGTTGTGGAATAGCTTACCATCTTCTTTTAGAAAGTCAAATACATTGGACAATTTCAAGAGGGACATCGAAACTCACGTCTGCATTTTTTGCTCTTTGCAAATACGTCATGTAAATACCACCCTTTTATTCGTTCATTTACGTGCACATTCCGATGATTATTGGTTTGCTTAAATGTATAAAAAGTGATTGTAAGCCCTTGCTTTTGTTTCGCAATTATAACTAATACTATTATCCATATGTTGTGAAGCGCTTTAGAGTAATTTTATAAATTATATAGAACGCTATATAAATGTTGTATATTTTTATTAGTAGTAGTAGTATTATACTTTAGCAAATTTGAAGACGTGACTTTTTATAGTCATGATTTGAAATATCAGGATTGGTGCTTCATAGCATGTATGTGGATGTGGATTTAAAACACCAAAAGTATTTGATTGGTCAACATAAAAAACAATTGAATGTTATATAACTTGAAAATAATGTAATGGATGTATAAACGAATACCGAAGTGCACTATTCACCTACTGTGACCTGCAGTTTATTCATATTACTCTTAGGTTTGCAGTCGATGCATCGATAGAACAACGTATAATCTAGTCCAAGCCTTATTGGACTGTATGGCGGGAGTGTGACAATAATATCTTTCAAAAAAACAAAACTTGTATGCACATACATGTACACACAAAAAATAAGTCAAACATCGCCTTGTGATACTGCAGGTAAAGATTTTTCTAACATCGGCTATATGCATTGAATATATGTTCACTGGGCTTAGATAAAAGGGGAACTCTACAAAGTAATTTTTAATATATACGCTACACTCGTAAGTTTGTGCCCATACCTGGACGTGGAATTTAAAAAAAAAATACTTCAAGATTTTATCAGTCCTAATATTTTTAGTATTTTGAACACTTTCGCGCACTGCTGAAATCATAAAACAAACAACATATCTATAACAAAACTATATGCACTTAAAAAACTTAAATAAGCGCAATCATGATTTAGCGCAATACGTAAAGCGCAAAATAGCTACAATTATAAAACTCAAGGTAAAGTCATGTCCAAATTCGTACGAACATTACTCTATAAAATACCATTATTTTTGTGTATATAGCTATGATTCCAGGCTGACTACACAATGTGTATTGAACACCTCCTACCTATCCATGTCAGAACTTCAGTAGAAGGCTTGCTCTCCCGGATACCAAATCCAAAAGCGAAACCTAGGACGATTCCTGCAGCTGGCAGCACGATTATTAGATTGTCCTTCATCCACCGCCTGATAGGTGATATTTTCCTGTTGGCAATCATGTTGTCATCTGTTCGTTCTGTCTCAGTGCTTCAACCCTCGGTTCGAAGCATACAGGTAATGCGGACAGTTTACATGAGGACCAACGCGTTTCACTGTACACAGATATTGGTAGATAGTACATGCTCCAGGTCGTAAATCAGATCATTGGATGACATTAACATGTATGCATGCTTCAGCAAGTTATTAGAGTCGGAGGTAGGGGTAAAGCTATGTGATCGCACACCATATCAAAAATACAGTTGTGCATAGTTCGTTGGTACAACGTCGGCAGAACGTCTTCACATCTTGCGTACCGCTAGGCTATTAAAAAGGATCAACTCGTTGTGTGTTAAACCATGCACATATTTGCCTGTAATAAGATCGTTTGAACATTGATGAGGAGTTGAAAAAATAGAAGCCTCGTGTGAAGTAAGATGCATATTTTAAATATTCCTATAGGTTCATCTGAAACTGTATCATATTCAGAAACACATGTTACAATCTATCAACATATTGTACCAAATACCTAGCTGATAAAAGGCATAATTTTTCTCGTTTCAAAGATAGAAACTAGATGTAACGACTAGTCGTAGTTGTTTTATGAGACGCTTCATAATTATTTACATAATTTACACAATAAATGCAGTTATCTAGCCATTACAATTTGTTGACGTATGTATTAAAATATGAGGCTTAGCGACTTACATGTAGTAAGTAAAAAATGTAAATCATCAGATTGCATTAGATAAAAAATCGTTTGATGACTATTGAGACTTTCAAAATTAATATTATATACCGTTGCCGTACTGAATAGGTCTCCTTTAATGTTTTCATAAGTAAAACAGTAACACAGGAAATGTCCTTCATTTTCGACGTTGTTCAACCAGAACATATAGTGCCTCTTATAATGGTATGTTGAAAAACCGACCAGTCTTGATAGGTTAAGGGAAACAGCCAAGTCTCAATTTTAGCCGTTGTGCTTCGATTAATCTCTCAGCAAGTTACACAAAACGTAATGATATGGAATTCAACATTTTTAAACTTACATGGCGTTCTGAGTTTATTTTGTTTGTCGATCATATGATTATTGGGGGCTTGTGCTTTAATGTGCAAGACACCTATGTTTTCGCACCTGCACATCCAAGCTGGTCACCTCGGCCTCTGATTAGTCGAAATAAAATATTGGTCGATTCTGCTTAAATTTCATATGCATGTGTATTTTGGCACTGCGAATATAACTGCGGGGCTTTGGGAGACTTATGTAAATTAGTACTTGTTTTAGTTGTTGTTTTGTGTATTTAAAAAACCCACTCTTATTGACGTTATTTCCTGAGGTAAAAAAAGTCGTCAGATAAATAATTCACGTAGATTTTTCCACCCTTTTTACTTGTTTATAATTTATATCTAAATTATCCTAAACATGTAGGGACATCAATAATAAAGGTGTCCCAACTAGTTTTCGGGCCCAGAATTCCAGTGAATTACCACAACGTAATTACCGTTTACACAGACAAATATCACTCTACAGTAAATATATATACATTTACATGTACACATATGACCAATGCATGTTACATATACCTGTGTTTAAAACAACCGAAACGTGATATCCATCTGTATAAATGTTAAATTAATAGAATAGCATGTAAATCAAGTTGAAATACGGCAACCTACATTTGTACTTTAAACAATGAAAGATTTGGGCACGTATTCATGAAACCGTTATCATGTTCAAGCATGGATTTATTTTCAAGTCTTATTTCTTGTTCCGTTTATGAATTAATAAAAAAAAATGTTAATGATTTTGGGAAAAAGGTGAAGTTTCTTAAAGCCAGAGACTGTTTTCAACGTTTATGTTCAACTTTCTCCTTATATGACATGATTTAAACGAGTTACAAAAGGGTTGGTTTGAACTCAAAATCCATGCTTGAGCACGATAGCTTCATGAATACGGGATCTCAGCATAAATACTAAATCGTATAATAATATTCACAGGTCATTCCTAAATATTTACCGAGCATAATACTTGTTGAAAACATACGCTGTAGCTATTGCTCAATGTGTTAGCAAGTTTTTATCGCACAGTTTTTTCTTTTCTTTCACAAATCGTCCACACGCCGCATATCGTGTTAAGTTGTGCCATCACATAACTGTACCACCCAGAGACCCAGTACATCGGAAGCAATCTATCATGCATACGTATCTTTCAATGCGTTTGTGAGTGCCCAATTTCAAACAACGAAAGACGCACCCTGTGACAAATTTTGAAGAGCCAAACACGAATATTTGATTTTACAATGTTTCTGTACCTTATGTAAGTGTACAGCTGTACCATAAAATACAAATATTCGATTTTTCATATCTCTGTGTACCAAAAAAAGTGTACCACGGTCAGAATTTATATATTTGCGTCCGGTTCTTGTTGGCCATCGTAATCTAAAGATGTTCCGTGAACAGGAAAATGGCTGGCGGTAATGTCTTACCCGGGGCTTTCATATTCTTTTAAGAAGCCGGTGTAACGGGTTGAGTTAACTGTCTCTAGTGGGGACTCGCTTGGCAGAATATTGAGGATATGATAACACACAACCGTTCATTTTCGTGATCTTCACTTTTTTTTCCCTTCCAAATTAAAGAGTTCCCTTCAAGGGAGAACATGCATGATGTTACAATTGGCAAATGATATAATCATAATTGGAGTTACTTCCCTTACACCAAAAACATACAAATGTAAATATAGTACTTACGTAATATTAATTAATCACACAATTGGATGGTTCACAATAATATATGCTCTAAATAACATCACCCCCGCAAAACAAAAATTGGACCCCAATTTTTTTATATAACAAACCATCCAAAGGTGTGTACAAGATTAAAATTATAGCAATATAAAGTGGCTTTAAATTTGCTGGATTGATATTATTTTAAAAACATGATTGAATATGATGACTGATATTTAAGAAGAAAAACATATAAGAGTATATTAGCTATTACAGTATAACATCCAACATGCACGAATTTGTTATATTTTGAAAATCAAACACTAGATATAAGGAAAAAAAATAAAAAAATTTAGAAGGAAATACAATATAGAACTCTAATTGAAACTATTAAACTCTCTTGAAAGGTATAACAAACGTGTATGAAAAGTAAAACAAAAATATTAACAATGTCAATAATTGAAACTATACCCTTTTAGCTGTTAGCAATCAATACCAGATCACAACATAATGGCCAATATTGCATTGATACATATAGTGACCGTTTACTCCCAATTAGTGTAATGAAAAGTTTGTAAACTTTCTATTTCGGACACAAATTTACACTTCGTACCTCTCAAATCAATATAATTGACAGCATACAAACAGAATACTCCCCAGAAGGCAATATAATATTAAGCAGACTGGTTTGCATGACCATATACTGTCAACTTAACTACCATCTAACCATCATTATTAAATAGTATACAAAATGATGAAGCATGAGAAAATCATATTGAACCATACACACATCATTCATCTATATTTTTTGATATCCAATAAAAAAAAATCACAATCTCGCAACTATCTAGTGTCAAAACAATTTGTCAAAATACTTCAACTCATTATGAAACAAAATGTGGCATGCTTATCTGGGAACCTGAGAGTAGCTTAAGTGGCTCCTTATCTACATAGGTAATAATGTAATGTATGCTCGTACTAATTGTGTTTAATACCAAACAACTACAATTCAGTGTAGTAAGAGAAACAGTTCCACCAATGCATTATGTATGACAACATAGGGTAATAATTTACAATTTAAACAAAAATAGGAATGACACTGTTCCCATCCAACTCGACAAGTGGTAGGAATGACACTGTTACAATCGTATCCAAACACATATAGGAATGACACTGTTCCAATCGTATCCAAACACATATAGGAATGACACTGTTCCCATCCAACTCGACAAGTGGTAGGAATGACACTGTTCCCATCCAACGCGACAAGTGGTAGGAATGACACTGTTCCCATCCATCTCGACAAGTGGTAGGAATGACACTGTTCCAATCGTATCCAAACACATATAGGAATGACACTGTTCCCATCTGGCTCAACAATTATATCATACAATTAGCAATTCAAACAGTAAAAGAAAATGATAAAACTAGAAACGTATCAAGATTTGACTATGCATGGTTCAGGAATTCAAATCTTGAATCAAACAAGAACGCATTCATATTTAAAATATGTAATATTACAAATATTACAGGCAATATTTATCAATATTCCTAACAGATGAGCAGACTGAACATAACAAAGTGCAACTGGTATGATGACATATGCTACTATAGGGACAATTACGATGCAATCAGGTTTCAGTAATCAGTTTTACTACTATTCAATCATAGTTCCCGCGTATAAATGTACACGACCAATCTTAAGCAACATATTTACACAACTGGCGGCGGTTTTGCTATTACATATGCATATAAACATATAGAAAATGTCCAACAATGGCAACATTCATAGAAAGCTTTGACTTAAAAGAATGAATAATTGGACTACCAGTTTCTGCACAAACCAATGGAAGAATAATTGGCATATTATGAAATGAGTACGGAAGATTGTCATTGTTATCAATCACGGAATGTCTTCATTTTAGAATATGGGACAATTTACATCTCCAATGTCAGTAGATTACACATCATTTGACATGTGCAGGTAAGTCTTTCCGCTGGCCAGACAGATATGCAAACAGATCTTTACTGTTGATAGACATTGAGTTGAACTGCTTGGAGTTGGAAACATCACGAACATCAACAACTCTAGGTGTCACTTCAGTCACTGAACAAACAGCATATTCTGTAGAGGGTTTGGTGTTACACATTCCATTCACAGTCTCTGACGTGTTAAGTCCTGACAAAGTGTAGAGTGCATCTTTAGAAGCAAATGACTGACCAGAAAATGACTGTCCACAAAGTCCAGTTTCCACTCGATCGGGCCTATAACCAGAACTTGTATTCGTACACGGGTCACCAAGATACTCTAAAACAGACCTAGACGTGTCCTTTTGTTGGATGTTACACTTACTATCCGAAGTAGAACCATCTGTCTCTGGGGCGTCATCTGGAGCACTGTGTACCACAACATCAGTCTGGTTTGCC